CTCGTCTCTATTATTCTGTTATTCGTCTCCGTTGTCTTGTTGTGAGTTTTTCTGTTATCGGTCTCTGTCTGTCCTGTTCTTTATCGGTTCTCGTCTTCGTTCTTCTGTCATCCGTTCTCGTCTCTTTTCTTTTGTAATCAGTCCTGGTCTTCGTTTTCATGTTGTCAATTGTTCTATCGATCCCCGTCTCCATTGTTCTCGTCTATGTTATTCCTTTTATCGGTCCTCGTCTCTATTTTTCTGTTATCAATCCTCGTTGTCTTGATGTCAGTTTTTTCTGTTATCAATGCCTGTATCTGTTTTTTTCTGTTATCGGTCACTGTCTCTGTTCGCTTGTTGTCAGTACTTTTGTTATCGATCCCTGTCTCTGTTCTTCTGTTATCGGTCCCTGTCAACTGTTAGCGGTCCTCGTCTCTGTTCTCTTGTTTTCAGTTCTTGTTCCGTTCTTCCTTCTGTTATCGGTCGTCGTCTTCGGTCTTGTACTTTCGGTACTTGTTTCCTGCTCCGTTAAGGTCTTCTCTTATTTCTATTGTTGCCATCATTATGTGTCTATGTCCTGGTTTTGTCAGTCTTGTAGTCATTTATTCGTTCAGTGGAGTAGCGGGGGATCGAACTCACGACCCCTTGATTTGTAGGCAGACAGTGTTACCACTGCACCATTGCGCCCGCTCTGAATAATAACCATTTTTGAAAATCCTTTATACATAAAATACTATTTCAATGGCTAACAAAAGGTGTATTACAATTATATTTTAACACCTCTACTATGTAGCCAACCCACGTGACTTTTATATATGGTCTTCATTTTTTACAAGTAATATTTGTATAGATAACTTTGCTGTTACTTTAAGATATCCTAGAAATTTATTGGAGGGTACCCGGAATGTTGTGATAATCTTCTTGTAGAATTTTCTCAAAACCGTGATTGAATTCCAAAATTTTCGAGAGCTGTCATGGTATAGCAAGCACACGTAGCAATCTCCCGGTTTCAGACATTTTATGACTCGATGAAAATATGGTGTTGTTATTGTTGTTGTTGTTTTTAACTTTAACTTTAAATTTCAAATTAAATAGTCACTTATTTTTAAACAAGATGGTAAACTTAAATATGCCCAAATGTCATCAAGGGCAGTTTTGCATGTGGAAGGAATGTATTTTTCAGACTGTAAAAATGAAACAAACAAAAAATTAAGAGACGATATTTGGTGATTGGTAATTTAGATGAATAGAAGTAAGTTTCTTCTTTTTATTACTTTTGACATTTAAGTTATTTATCAATTTCAACTTTGCTTTTCTCGAAACAGCCTGATATTGTCAGAATTGTCAGCAAAAATAAAATTGAGGTACCACATGGGGAAAATCTTAAGAAAATTGAAAAGTGTGAAATTATATTTTGATAATTTTCACTGTGAAATTATCAAATATAATTTTCACGGATAAATCAGTAATCCACTGAAAAGCATAAAATAAAAAAAAACTATGAAACTAATGTTAGTTAAAGTCATATCTGCTAAAAATGTAAACGTCATTGTTACTTCCGCAGTAGCACAGACGGTTAAGTGATTGTCTGATGTGTGAGAGGTCTATGGTTCGATTCCTACTGGTGCCATTTTTTAAGACCTGTTTTTTTTGTTTTTGTTTTTTTTGTGAGGGCGCAGTATGTATTTTAAACCACTTGTTGTCTCGGTTTGTGTTGTGTTTATGGCATTGAAATGACACTTTTTGACATTTCAAAATAATTTTTAAATACTCATTTTAAACCATAAATACCATAATAAGTGCAAAATATATGAAAACAAAATGAACAACTTAAAAAAATCATAGCTACAAATAATGTTGAAAATTACGGAACACCTGAAGTGACATTTTCCAAACTTTCTCCCGGAATTGAATTCGTTTTTACGAGATAATAATTCCCAATTAGAAATATTATTTCGTTTTAACGAAATATAAAATCTTAATTACGAAATATTGATTCGTTATTACGAAATATTAATTTGTTATTACGAAATATTTATTCTTTGGTAATATTTATAAACTAAGTTTATTGTTCAATATAAGTCAAGTAAACAAAACATTAAAAGTGATTTTTTTTCAATCTTAGCTAGTCTTATACCTTAACGCGCTAGTAAAACAGTACTGTACATGTATATACTGTTAATTGAGCCATTAGGCTTACATTCGCTATATTTGGTGGCCAATCTCATTAAAATCTGATCATATTGAATAATCATTTGATTTTGACAATAATAATTAATTGCATCATATTGTATCATAGTTTTAATGACCTATTTTAGTATTTTTAAGCGGCCATTTTGAATTGACCTTTTGAAGGTCAAGGTCAATTTTATTTTCTTGGTATCCACCCTCATCGTCTTCAGCATACCCATATTAGGTTAAAACACTCAAGATATTACTTGTACTATAAAATGCCTCTAGCATTCATATTTTCTTAAAATCAGTCCTGTCTAATTAGAGAACATCAATATTTAAAGTGTATTTGGCATTGGAAGAGAACTGTATACGTAATGACGTAATATTGATAAAGAGCTGGTAAATATGACGAAATTTACGTTACATATAACGTAGACAATATATAGCATCTAATTACTTTGCATTCATTGTGATACAGTGTTCAAATTATTCATTTAATGGCATAATAACTAAATCGCAACAATATTGTACGCGATGTACCGATGTACATAACGAGATAATTATATCACATAACAAAAAACTTGATTGTGATTAGCTACCAAAAATATCATAGCCTTGTAACAAAAAATTAAAAAAAAAAATAAATAAATAAATAAAGCATTTCAAATAATTCATAAAGGAGATCATGTAAAACCAACTTGTATATGAACCATAGTATATGCTTAGTAATCCTTCACTTATCTTGAACCTAACATGAAACAAATTTCTGGCCATCACAGGACCCTGCAATCTTAAGACAATACTTCTGATCTACAAAAACAGTTTGTACTTTTGATTAAAATGTGAAAGTATATTAAATGACTGATTAATTTGGATGGCATTCAGCTGTAGGCATAATATATTCTACAGTATAAGCCATAAGATTTCATCACAGAATACATCAGATATGAATAACATCCGATTTTAACATTGTATGAGGTACACGGATTTATTATGTTGATTGTTGTTCAATACCTTAATACTTGTCATAATAATAATAATAATAAATAAATAAATAATAATAATAATAACAGATAATAATAATAATAATAAATATAATGAATAAATAAATGGGCCATGAATATAAATAAATAAATGAATAAATAAATGGGCCATGAGCAGTTAGTTGTTATCTATAGATGAAAACACTCATGACTTATCATACAATGTCCACGACATGATCAGTCTTTAAAACCATTTTTTGTTATTTTATAATTCAGATATGTTAGAAAATAACAGATTAGTTTCAAAAACTATAAGTTCTATATAAAGTGATATTCGTCTTCAATATCATGTAATGTACAACATTTGCAAAATTTTATATAATCAACAGTGATATTTCGACATCGTCTGGTTTCTGTCACTAATTATGAGACGATCTAACTAAATGACCTATAACTTTATTCAAATATTGTTCATGCTTGATACATTTTAATTTTTATTTCTCACTGTGGTTTTGGTGGCATTCTACACTTTTGATTTTAAATCAAGATATAACTGACTAATTTCACATAGAAACTTACAACTTTTTTATTTCAAACCTTAAAATTTAAATGAATTTGTGTAATTGGTTTACCAAGCTTTTTATCAGGAACAGTCCATTCAAAGTTAAAGGGATTACAATATATCAATTGAGCTAGCCTACCAACAGTATAGAATCTGGTCAGACTGTACGGATGTGCCGGCTGTTATGGCTCTATACCAGGGGCGAAGGCCAATCACTTTTGAATCCAGCAAGTGAATTGGTAAAACATGAAATTAAGTGATTTGATTTCCTAGGGTATGTTTTCACATCAATTTACCTTTCTGGCAATTGAATTGTTGTTTTGTGCGTTTCTATGAGTAAAATGTAAGTAACAGATTGTGTAGTTATTGCGTCTGAGGAATCGTCTGCTGCAACGTTCATTTTTTTTTTTACAAGATATGAGTAATACATTACAAGGCAAATGCCACATAGATTATCATGCTTTGTTACTCCATGTCGCATTCCATTTGTATAAAATACTTCTGAGTTTATTTCAGTAGCATATTTTTCTATGATTTGAATATAATAGAACTGTTGTATATCCCTTTTTTTACATATATATACTGGCTTCGCTTTATGTACTCAAACTATTAATTTGAAAGGAAAATACAACGTGTTAAAATGGCGGAAAAGTCTGGAAAAATGAATTAAAAATAAAAATTCTGTATTAATTTCAACAATACAGACAAAATAGTGTATAGATATCGGTATAGAACGAAAAAGCCATCAACTTTCAAGTTGGTTGATATTTTTTTTATTTGACTGATCAATGTGTTTTTCCAGTCGTGAATGCGAGAACTTGCTTTTTGTTTGTTCAGAAATATCGGGGAAATATTTAATTTTGTACGCTTTTTTGCAGTATAATGCTCAATCGGGGTTCAAATGCTTAGTAATATAAGCACGAAGAGTTATCGTTTGCGGATCATTGATTCAAGCACTTAAAATTGACTACCGCTCTTGAGTACCGTTCAGGCCGGTGCTAGGGGGCGCGAGGGATGTCGCACTTTTTCATTATCCCTCATGTACAGACTCAATCAAAAACAGAATCTGCAATTTTCATGTAATTTTGCTGAATTATATGCTTCCGAGGGATCATTTTCCCCCCAGATATTTGAATAGCTAATTGTAAAGCATTTGAACAAGTCTTAAATTTTATAACATAGTTAGTAGAGGGCCTTCATGGAACATATTGTAAGTCTCTTTACTACAAATAAGAACCGAAAATGAAATATACGTATCACAGGATGGTCACAAACTTTAACATTATTTTGTTGGCCTGCCAGCAGAAATTGATAGGGAAAGCTGGGAGTGAAAGTGAGGTACATTCAGCGTCTGAATCAGTTCACATTTTGTTAGAGGTTCGTAACACACCTCAGCAAAATACATAAATACCTATATATACATTTATCACCTGACAGGAACGACGGGGACCTTTAAAAACATGGTAAGTCAAGTTTTATATTGCATTTATATTGCTTTTTATCTCTTTTTTCTTTTTATTAAAATTATTTTTCCTCTTTTCTAACTTTTTATCTATAATTCAAAAAATTTCGGCTAGAAAGTACAGCTGCGATAAAATCTTCCTTTTATGTGGTGAAAATATTTAAGGATGGAATTACAGAAAATTAACAGTGCTTTTTTTGAACTCCATACGTCTTGGTAACGATAGCAGTGAATCATTCAACATGGTATGTGAGGGAAAACACCATAAAATTATGGTATCCCGAAAGGGTGGTCAATTACCAAGAAATCAAACTTGGACATATAACGGCCAGACCATAGACATTGTTGAAAACTTTAATTACCTAGGCTTTGTAATGAGCAGTGGCGGTTCATTTCGAAAAGGCATAGATGCATTAGCAGATAAAGCTCTTAAATCAATGTTTTCTCTAAAAAACATCACTCGAGGGATGCAAATACCACTACATATAAACTTTAACCTTTTTGATGCTTATGTAACATCTATAATGTCATATTGTGCTGAACTGTGGGGATTTAGCCAAGCAGAAAGACTAGAGCGACTTCACAGAAAATATCTTAAATGGACATTGGATGTAAAAATGAGTACGAACAGTTATGCACTTTTATGGTGAAACGGGACGGTTTCCGTTAATTTTAAACAGAAAAGTAAAAATAATGAAATATTTTTTCAAAACTATTAGATTCACATGATAAGAATTGTATTTTATATTCTGTTTATAATTTTCTATTTGAGTCCCATGATTTACAAAACAATTGGTTATCAAATGTCAAGACTATGTTGCAAGAGACGGGGTTTAATGATGTCTGGTGTTTTCCTGCATCTGTTGTTAACATAGAGTGCTTTATTACACAGTTTAAGCTTAGGCTTAAAGACATTTATATAGGACAATGGAGAGAGGCAGTTAACATTTCAACGGCATTGACTCTATATAAAGAAATTAAACAAACATTTGGAATGTCTGAATACTTGACAATACTTAATAATAACAAATTCAGAAATGTCTTGGCTAAATTTAGACTTTCTTCGCACTGTTTGGCCATAGAGCAGGGTCGCCATAGAAACCAGTTAAGAAGTGAACGAAAGTGTGTTATATGTACCAAAGACGATATTGAAGACGAATTTCATTTTGTCTGTATATGTGAGAAGTATAAGGATTTGAGAAAATTATATATTCCGTACTATTTCAGAAATCGCCCAAACATGTTTAAGTTTATTGAACTGTTAGACTGTAATAATCTCAAAATATTGTGTAGACTGTCAATATTTATTTCAAAAGCTCTGAAAGTAAGAAACAATCACATTAATCTTGAAGTTTAATTATATCAAATGTTGACATGTGTGTTATATATATTTGCTAATTTGATTTAGTAGATCAGTATGCTTACTGATTACATTGTATATTATTTTCCTTCTATGCAACTGACAACCTGTTTTGCCATTTTCATTTGCATGCGATTGAATGTACATGTATTATATTTTCATGATTGATGATAAGCTGTATATGCTTAAGTCAAAATAAATATTCTGTTCTGTTCTATAACACATACTGATTATTTTAATTGAAATCGGTGACATTCCACCTTTTTTATTTTAAAAAGGTCGACTTTAGGAGAGAGTGCATCTAAGAAGTCTGCACGATTTGTTTTAATATTAAAATTTTCATAGCATTTTTTTTATCAGTAAAAAACGTAAGATCATTTGCGTATTTGGTACCTAAAGGGTCTTACATGAAATACTCGTGCACGTTTTCACTTGTGTTCAATGTAAACCGGGATCTAAAAAAAAAATAAAACAAGTACAGCTAGAATTTTTTTCGACAACTTATCAAAACTTTTTAATTTCTCTTTCTGTAGGAATATTTTTACATGCACGTGGGGCGGCAGTGATACCTTTATATCTTTCATGCATGCGCGATAATATATGCGGCAAACACGTTGTTTGTGGTGATACCTTTTACTTTTGCTCTATTGTTCTTGAAAACTTGGAAACTATATAAAATATTGTTATCACGTTTCTTTCGTGCAAGTATCGCGAACAACAAAATACATCACTGATCAGCCGGAACTTTTCCCTAAGTATGAAGAAGAAAAGGGGAAAATAGTTTATTTCTGTTACTTAAATATGTAGTTTTTGCAAATACAATATTATTGTGATCACATTTCATAAGGCAAAGAAGAAGAGACAGTAATAAACAGAAGAAGTTTAACCTTAAATTGTTTTAGAAATTATAAGTAAATATATAAATATGCATGCTGAGTCTATACCCAAATACTTATAAGAATGAAATTGTAATACTGGCTAAAATTTCTTCTTTTCATTGATTTATTTCAGTTAATATTATTAATTTTATTAATCATTTAGTTTAACGAGAACGATTGTTTACGTAATTATGATATGCCCCTAAGAAAAAAGTTCACGGAACATTCATCTACGGTTAAGGTATATCATTCTAAAAAGGTAGGGAACTCATTCCCGTCAATCTAGCTATTACTGACGCTCGCTTACATGACAAACTAATTACCGGGATTCTATGTGCACTCATCTTTTACAATTAGGGAATATACAGTATATTAACTGAAACGTATTGTTATGACTAAGACAGACAGATGTTTGCCCATTGCTCTCAGAGACAGTAAAGAATTCTTCAAGTTTTCTACAGTCTCAGCTGTTAACAGTTATGTTTGTTTAAGGCCAAACTGATTGTGTTTGTTAGGTTAGCGTCCTCCAAGTTCAACAGAATCCATCATTCATCAATTTTGAAACACAACGATTAAAGGAACTCCACTGAGGTCCAAAAGCATTTGAAAACACGAAATTTGAATTCCTTACATAGATCAGCTCTGGCACATAAATTCAAAAGATGATAAAGATATATACTAAGAAATAAATTGAAAAACGTACTTCCGTGCTATTCTTAGTCAAATTTGAGTGAAAAGCTGTGCAACGCTTTTCAGTTTTGGGGTGTTTTTTTCGCAATAAAGATAATTATTCAGGATAAACGGAGTGAGGGAATGATCTGAAATTTTGCACACAACTAATTATTGGTGTAGACACCAAATTATTTCTAGTCCAGTCAAGTAAAAAAAAAACACAACAACATAGTGGAGCCCCTTAAGATTTTTAATGTGCATTTAGTTATGCGGATATTTGCTTATAATTATAATATAAAAAAGAGCAAGAAGTTTGTACACACTTATAAAAACCTAGGAATGGTTTATATGGCCTGTTTTTTCTGTGATATAACGGTGAAATGTTTAACAAGAGATTATTATCTTACCATTGCACCTGTCATACAATACAGCAGATGTTCCATGAAATAAACTCACAACTGGTAAATCGTTACACAGATGTTTCTAAGAGAAATAAACGTGAACATGCATCATTTTACTTTTAAGGAAAAGGGTCCTTTCATTAACCACAACAAACAAGAATTTCTTATTAAACAATTAGTCCTTTTTATTGAATTGAATGATATAAGGATTCCCTGATAATCAATTTCATTTAATTTAATATCAAATATTTTAATATTGAGCAAACTTTTCAGAAGTGTGTAATGTCATCGACCTATCCCAGTGTCTACCACATTGAAAACTGGACATGTTTTGGAACCAAACATTTTAGCTTTCAAGTCCATAACACCCACAGGAAACACACTGCACATTTTCTTTGGAACTGTCACAGAGGGTAACAAATTCACAAAAGATTTATTTTCAACATTCAACCAACTTTTTTCATTTATTTTATCCAACAGCGGGAATGCATATCTGTGCACGTTGGTCAGGCAGGCGTCCAGATGGGCAATGCATGCTGGGAATTGTACTGTTTAGAACATGGAATTCACCCGAACGGACTTCTTATTGGGGACAAGACAGTCACTGACGATGAGTCTTATAACACATTCTTCAGCGAGACTAGTCGCGGAAAACACGTGCCAAGGGCTGTCTACGTAGATTTAGAACCTAGTGTAGTCGGTATGTATTATAAAATGTCACGTGACACATCATTTGCAATAATTTCATTGAAGTGCAGTATGTCATAAAGATAACGTGAGTATGTGTACCTTCTTAATCACCAAAACCATTAAATATGTTATTAGAGTAGAATGTCGAGTTTCTGGTGCACATACAAAACACTTTTTAGAGCAATTATTATCATTCGCTTTTAAATTAAGAAGCATGTATATACGGCAAAGTTCCCTTTTTATGTTTAAGAGCAATTGTTGTCATTTACTCTAATGGAAACATTGTAATCTTTCGCTCTAAAAGAAAAATATACAGTAAAGTACCCGTACTACGGAAAACCTAATTACGACCACGGTAAAACACAAACTAGCACAAAGAATAATTAAAATTGGGAATAATTATGAATATTTAAATATTTCTGAATTATATCGTTTCTGGATAAAATGAATAATTAAGTTCCTCTAAATTGCGATTTCAACGATAAAAGCGAAGTTTACCTACACTGAAATCCATGCGCGGTAAAGTCAATGTGACCGTGCGCATAATTATGTTAGTTATCTAAAGATTACGAAAAAAAAGGACACCAGCATTCATGTATAACTTATCTATATCGATATATTTGTATATAAAGCGTATTTCAAGTTATTAGTGATTTTTGACATACCTAATTAAATTTTGTCCCTAATACTTCTGCGCTCGGTACCAGTTGCTCTAACAGTGCCTACAGTGCTTTGATTTTTTTGTTATAAGACCCAATATGCTCTTAATATGTCTGCAAAAACATTCATGTAGTGTATCAGTTCAAAATATGACAAGTCGTGCATTTCATCTAGTTTTTTATTCGGAAAATTACATGTTGGCAGTATAAACCCCCTTCTAGTGTATCCACAAGAGAATTTAGTGCCAAACAATATTTTGAGATGTTATGTACGTGAAGATGTATAGCGAAATGTTACAGGTAAAATTTTGAGCTGCTTTGCATATAAGAAAATGCGTAAAATATGTTCGATCAAAGAATTTAATGAAAATTGAAGATTAAATATTTTCAAGAAGCTATTGTTTCAAGGAACTCTTAATTCCCTTTGATACATTAGCGCGGTACAAACTTTTTTAATGCATTTTTCAATGCATCTTTGTTTCTCTTAAGATTAAGGAGCGCCTTTCGACTTTGTAGTTGGTAACAAAAATTCTTACTCTTTGCCATGATCTGGCGAGGAAGACATGTTAATGAAAACAGATGTTCAAATAAAAATACAATCTCTGAAACGTTCTATGTAAATTGCAACTAGTCTTGCAGCAGAGAAACGCATAAGCATTAAACTGTTTTTCTTTGCTCACTTCTGATAAAACATGCGAGATTTCTAAGTGCAATTATCTGCCTGTAAGGTACGTAACCATACGGTTTGTTCCTGCATTTCTTATGGTGGCTGAATTCTGCCACTTCGTGTGTTCGTGTTTTCGCCCCTTTAAAGTCGAAGGCGAAGAGACGAAGACACGATAATATGCTCATTTAACGATCTTTTGATAGGCGAAGACACTTTAGATTTTCTTCTGCAGAATTATCGTGTAAGCGGGTAGAAATCTTCGTATCGGCGTCCTATAATAATTTTGTAGAAAAGATCTCGTGTCTTCGTGTCTTCGCCTGTTGGCGAAATGGCAGAAATCAGCCACCATAATTTCTTGTGTTGTTTTTCTGGTTGTTTGTAAAACTCTTCAGTTTTCTATATGCTTTTTTCATTTCAGACGAAGTGCGGACAGGTGAATTTAAGCAATTGTTTCACCCGGACCAACTAATAAGCGGGAAAGAAGACGCGGCCAATAACTATGCACGTGGACATTATACTGTAGGCAAGGAGATCATAGATCTCGTGCTCGATAAAATACGAAAAATGGTGAGTTAACCAAACCCAAAATATTTTCTTTTGCTTTTTTTACTTTTCACAAGTTAAAAAATGTGGAAGGTTCAACATTTAATGGATATAATAAATTAGCATTACGTTTACAATGGTATAAAACAATTCATATAGAAGTGTTTTCTAAATTTCCAAAAAAATATGAATAAAATAATTACTAATTGAACTTTTGAAAACAATAACTGATATAATGAAAGATCTAAGAACTTTATTGTGGGTCAACCCAATTGCCAAATATTGTATAAAGCCGTATCAGTGATTATATGTATATATTTATTTTTGGCAATAAAATGTGTTTGATATGCTCAACAGGCGGACCATTGTGCAGGGCTGCAAGGGTTCCTTGTATTTCACAGTTTTGGTGGTGGCACCGGAAGTGGATTTTCTTCTCTGTTGATGGAACGACTCTCTGTAGATTATGGAAAGAAATCCAAGCTAGAGTTTGCCGTTTATCCCGCACCGCAGGTAAACCTTTTAGTTTGACGTTTATCCCGCACAGCAGGTAAATCTTTTGAGTTTGCCGTTTATCCCGCACCGCAGGTAAATTTTGTAGTTTACCGTTTATCCCGCACCGCAGGTAAATTTTGTAGTTTGCCGTTTATCCCGCACCGCAGGTAAATTTTGTAGTTTGCCGTTTATCCCGCTTCGCATCAGTCATTTTCAAATCATGTTATTTGTTATTTTGTATCGTTTATTGAACATCTAATTTTTGTCCTTTTTTGTCCTTGTTGGAATTTATACGCACCAACACTGTAAAGGTCGACTTCACAGCTTCTCTGGTTTAGTAAAACTTAGGTGCCTTTCCGTGCAATATTTTATGTACGAGCGGGCACCGGAGTAGAGCAACCGACGTTCAATAACTTAGCTGGATAGCTTCATTACGTGAAAGTCAACGACATTAACCACTCAACTAAGGAGGCCACACGCATTAAATTTTGTGATAACATGCTTTTAAAATAATATTCATCGATAAATCAGTCCGATTGTAGCGGAATTGTTTGATACCTTGCTCATACTTTTATTTCAGATTTCTACAGCTGTGGTTGAGCCTTATAACTCTATCCTGACCACACACAACACGCTTGAACACTCGGACTGTGCCTTCATGGTTGATAACGAGGCTATATATGATATCTGTCGTAGAAACCTTGACATTGAACATCCGTCATACAAGAATTTGAATCGTTTGATTGGTCAGATTGTATCATCTATAACCGCATCTTTACGTTTTGATGGGGCACTCAATGTGGACTTGACGGAGTTCCAGACCAATTTAGTGCCGTACCCGAGAATACATTTCCCGTTAGTGACGTATGCGCCGATATGTTCAGGTAATTATGCTCCGATATGTTCAGGTAACTATGCCGATATGTTCATATGTTCAGGTAACTATGTCAATATGTTCAGTTAACTATGCCGATATGTTCAGGTAACTATACCAATATGTTCAGGTAACTATGCCTATACGTTCAGGTAACTATGCCAATATGTTCAGGTAACTATGCAGATATGTTCATGTAACTATGCCAATATGTTCAGGTAACTATACTGATATGTTCAGGTAACTATGCCGATATGTTCAGGTAACTATGCCGATATGTTCAGGTAACTATGCCGATATGTTCAGGTAACTATGCTCCGATATGTTCAGGTAACTGTTCCGATATGTTCAGGTGACTATGCCAATATGTTCAAGTAACTATGCCGATATGTTCAGGTAACTATGCCGATATGTTCAGGTAACTATGCCAACATGTTCATATGTTCAGGTAACTATGCCGATATGTTCAGGTAACTATGTCAATATGTTCAGGTAACTATGCCGATATGTTCAGGTAACTATACCGATATGTTCAGGTAACTATGTTGATATGTTCTTTCAGGTTGCCAATATGTTCAGGTAATAAATTAGGATAACCTCTGCAGTGCGGCAATTCTCTTAAGAGCAATAACATCTTTACAACAACACAAGCATTGTTCTTCCCATCAGTATGACTTCACAAGAAACTTCAATCTCTCCCTAGCAACACCAGTCAGCAAGAATCAAAATCTTATTGTCTCCCAAAGGTTGTTGCTCTTCCAGTTGTTCTTAAGATGCAAAGAAAATAAGAACAAACTAGTACTCGGTAGTCTTTCCAGAATATATTATTTAGAGCTTTTACTTCATTCAAAGAATAATACATTAAAAGTTAGTCAGTAGACATGAAATATCTGAATATGTTAAGACACTTAAAAAACATTTTGCATAAAATTTAAATTCAATGTTGGCCAATATGTGGCTTTTTTTTTATTTCAGCCGAGAAAGCCTTCCATGAACAGATGTCTGTACAAGAAGTTACGAACGCTTGTTTCGAGCCGGCCAATCAGATGGTGAAGTGTGATCCACGTCACGGTAAATACATGGCATGCTGTATGTTATACAGAGGTGACGTCGTTCCAAAAGACGTCAATGCAGCAATAGCCAACATTAAAACAAAGCGAAACATACAGTTCGTAGACTGGTGCCCTACAGGCTTCAAAGTCGGGATAAACTATCAACCACCAACAAGTGTACCTGGTAATTGAAATATTTTACATTTTACAAGCAATATTGAAAATATTTGACAGGTAGCGTATTGTACAGGCAGTGGTATTGACAATTAAATCACTATTTTTATACCCCCGCTAAACAAAGTTGTAAGGGGGGTATACTGGAATCAGCTTGTCCGTTCAGCCGTCTCTCGTCCTGCCGTCGGTTTTTCCATGTCCGCCCAATAACTTAAGATTCCTTTGACCCATAGTCTTCATATTTGGTATTTAGATTGGTCATGATTAGTAGATGATCCCTATTGATTTTGAGGTCACAGGGGCCTTGACTTAAAAAAGCTTGTCCGCCCAATAACTTAAGATACCTTTGACCCACAATCTTCATATTTGGTATTTAGAGTTAATGATCCCTATTGATTTTGAGGTTACTGGGTCAAAGGTCAAGGTCACAGGGGCCTTGAGGATTTAAAAAAGCTTGTCCGCTCAATAACTTAAGATTCCTTTGACAAACAGTCCTCATATTTGGTATTTTGATTGGTCATGATTAGTAGATGATCCTTAATGATTTTAAGGTCACTGGGTCAAAGGTCAAGGTCACAGGGGCCTTGACTAAAAAAAGCTTGTCTGCCCAATAACTTAAGATTCCGTTGACCCACAGTCTTCATATTTGGTATTTAGATTGGTCATGATAAGTAGATGATCCCTATTGATTTTAAGGTCACTGGGTCAAAGGTCACAGGGGTCTTGACACATAAAAAAGCTTATCCACCCATTAACTTAAGATTCCTTTTGACCCACAGTCTTGATATTTGGCATGGAGGTAGAAGATCCCTTTTGATTTTGAGGTCACCGGGTCAAATGTGAAGGTCACAGGGGCCTTGACTAAAAAAAACTTGTCCGCCCAATAACTTAAGATTCCTTTGACCCACAGTCTTCATATTTTGTATCTAGATTGGTCATAAGTAGATGATCCTTATTGATTTTGAGGTCACTGGGTCAAAGGTCAAGGTCACAGGGGCCTTGATATAAAAAAGCTTGTCCGCTCAATTGCTTAAGTATGCTTTTCAACAGCTTTCATATTTGGTATTTATATTGTTTATGACTAGTAGATGACCCCTTTTGATTTTTAGTTGACTGTATCAAAGGTCAATGTCACAGGGATTTTTACTATTATAAGCTTGTCTGCTCAGATGCTTAAGAATGTCTATCCACAGTATATTGATTTTGACATTTTCACATTTGAAGCATGTAGAATACTTAACTTAGTAATTAGAATAACTTAGCAATACACTGGCTTAGTAACGTCAGATTTGGCAGGGAGGTTGTCCATGAGCTCTAAATGGCCACAGTTGATTCTGACAAAGTGGTATGCGGGGGTATTGACGCCATGACAGTGGCAGTTCTAGTTTATTTTGATATGAAAAAACAAACAGAGACATGTACTTGTAATTGATTGACATGTGACTTTCTTATAGAAGTATACCAGTTGGATTGTGACTTTAACAAAGTAGTATAACAGTTTAACAGAGAACAAGGTTTGTCCAAAGAATACGTAGATTTTTTTTTAACTTCAATAGATTCTGATCTGCTTTTTCTCTCCGAAGTTTACCTTATGTACCGGTCGCTTGTTAGTACAGCAATCAGTTCTACATGTATAACATGGGTTTTAGTATGCATTATTGTGATCATCTTTATTCATTAAATCACATTTTTAAAGTGTTCCGTTCTGTGTGATTCTTTATACAGTAAAATCTCGCTATTAAGACCACTTTGGGCCCCTGTAGAAGTGGTCTTATTATTGCGTCGGTTTTAATTAGGAGACCCATGCAAGGGTTCACTATATGAGAATCTGTAATATACAGTTATCATTAAAGATTGGAATCGTTGCTAATGTATTTCAGGAGGTGATCTTGCCCTCGTACAGCGAGCAGTGTGTATGTTGAGCAATACAACAGCTATAGCTGAGGCCTGGGCAAGACTTGACCACAAGTTCGATCTCATGTATGCTAAACGGGCATTTGTACACTGGTATGTCGGTGAAGGTAAGTTTGGCTAAACGTTCTAACAGACATCTTTAGATCTTAAGCTCATAACTCGTACACAGCATAAAATGGTGAGCAATCTTTTAATTGTTGAAGACATATATTCGGAAATACAGAACTCCATGCCACTATAATAGTTCTAAACGCCAACACAATGTAATTCGGAAAATGCGTTATATCTTGCTGTCATCAATTATGTACATAATTAGATTGTCCATGATGAATTATTTAACTACAGTAAACTATGATGTACGATAGTGAATTGCTTTACAATACAAGATATTCGAAAGTCTACTGCACACGGTATTAATTTAGATATCAGATCATCTTTACGACACAAGACAACATTCAGTGCACGATATAAGTAATATAAAGTAGTAAACGATATAAAAGATAATCTAAATTGTCGATTATGAAATAGCTTTCAAAACCTGATACTTATTTTAAGAGTTTTTGAAAATTAACATTCAGTGAGTTATATTACAAACAATTTTGCAATAAAGAGTTTTTGCAGGACCCCTTGTAATTGCATTTTCTGTTGCAATTTTCTTACAACCAGGTTTGCAATAAAATTTTAAAATTACAGGTACACCACATCTGGTAGGTTGAAATCATATTTTAGATGCAGACAGATATGTAGCATTTTAATGAAAAACTATTTTTAATGCAAAGTTAGTTGTTACGAAATTGCAATAAATGTGCTATCGTATGTAAATACAACTTAATAAATGGGCCTCAATGACCGAGTGGTTCATGTCACGGACTTCAAATCACTTGTCCCCCGGTGTGGGTTCAAATCCCGTCATAGACTTTTGTGAGAAAGCTATCCAGCTAGCTAACGGGAAGTTGGTAGTTGTACACAAGTAACCGCTTGTGCCTGAACTAATGCGAGGGTTTCCTTACTAGTAAAGCTGGAAGTTCACCATATGATATTAACAGTTTAGGTGGGACTTAAAATCCAATAAATTAAATAAACAAACAAGCCAATAAAAATAAATATTATTACAGGTATGGAGGAGGGAGAGTTTACGGAGGCTCGCGAGGATCTCGCTGCCCTCGAGAAAGACTACGAGGAAGTTGGTGTTGACAGTATCACTAACGACTGTGAGGAGGACGATGAGGAGGAATACTAACACAATAATGTCCATCATCTACATACAACTACTTTACTATCAATATCATTTTATATACATGTTTAAAAGTATTTCTGGACTCATCATTACATAACGGACCATTTTGCTTTGTTTTTATCTTATTTTCTACAGGATGCTATTTTATAAAACAAAATATTTATTCTTTTATTTATGTACTATTTATTTAATTAAATGTTGTTTGTGTAAGCAAAATGCAATAGTTTCTGATCAGATCTTCATACATGTAGCTTATCGTCAAAATGAAATCTCATCAACGTTTTTACACACAGTTCAATTATGCAAAGATGGATAATTTATGATTATTCCAAGAATATGTACAATTATTCAACGACAGAAAAAGCTGTTCACCATGTTATAAACATAGACTGCTGGACGATGTCTTTGCTTTATATGTAAGCTATGGAGAATGACAGTGTCACGTGTATCCGTGTTTAAAATCAAACGTTAGATTTTTTTGCTCAACATGTCTAAATGTTTGCTACGTTTTCTGTTATATTCGATACATCAGTATAACATTATACATGTAGGTACAAACTTGATTTTGAGTATATTTTGTTTGCTGTTTATCTTCTATTGTCATGTGCAGATAATAAATGACTGACTTTCAAAATATTTGACTCTTTGTATTATATGAAATGGATAACAAAAGCCTGTTAAAGTGAAATAATTTCTCTACTAAATGTACATGTAGAAGTTGTGTCTGTAAAAGACAATCATACTATTAATAGCAACAATTTTCTAACTAGTCAGTATCGCATCCGGTCACTCCTTTTATGTGGGAGCATTAATGCATGGATATTGCTGATTAAAGTCCAAAATTTTGTAATTTCACTGTTTGCTCACTTGTATAATTTCTAATATTTTATTTATGTAACATAATACCAGAGCCCTTTGTATTGCTTGGGCCAGTTGCTTTCTGAGCTACCATGGTGGTTATAAAACATTTTACTGAGTTCTGTCTCAATTCTCAGGATTTTCATTGGTCAGTGAGCATTCTGTGGCAGTTTCTGACCAATCAAATACATGTACCTGAGATCTGAGTTTGAGTCTACAGAATTTCTTTGTAACCCTGGACCCTGGTGTCTGACCAACCAAACTCTTATAACCTTGACCAATGAAAATCCCAAGATTCCAAACATCCATTCAATACCAAGAAGCTTCCATGGACCAGGGTTTATCAAAAACTTCCTCAATAAAAATAACTCAATTTATTTTCAAGCTCATGTATAATAATTAGATGTACATGGAATGTTCAGTGCTTAAAAATATAAAAGGCACATACATTTTTGTATAAAGACATAATGTTACTACAAATCATGGCACTTAGAATATACATGTATATTTAACTGGTATAGCTGTCAAAACTGACTAGAAAAAATCATTTCTAAATTGCTTAAATGATCATCAAAGTTCGTCCTTTATAGTGTTATATTTAGATTTTCTAGCTTGTATAAAATCAGGATGGGATCTCACATGATCAGTTGCCTTGGCAACAAGTTTCATGAACTCCACTTCATCAAATTCATAATTTGTAAACTTCTGATGAGCTCCTAATTGTGGATGATGACCCTGTAAAACAAATAATAAATGTATAACAAATGTTATGAAAATCATGAACAAAAACGTATGTAAATAAGGTGAAACAAGTGTTTTGACAAGTTACAAAATAAAACAATGGATGCTCCATGGTGTTTCTTTGACAACACTAAAAACATGGCCTTACTATGGGGATAGGTATGAAAAATATATATTTTAACCCCAGTGAATATGACAAAACTATATGTCCCATCAAATATTTTAGGTGCATAAATTAAGATAAGTTGATTGTTTATGGAATTGTAATTTGTTATATATTCAATAATCTATCTAAGCCCAATGAGTTGTTTCATAGTTAAGTAAAGAATTAACTAAAACATTATTTATTCTGCAAAAAACTACATTAACAGAATTTTAAACTGATTTAATGTGTCATTATATAAATATCACATCATTGTCAATGAGAGAACTAATTGTTCAACAGAGACAAGTAATGTTAGCCGCGGCATTGCTCTATCACCTGCAGTGGGTTGTGAGATTTTATTATATTGCATGAAAAATCAATATTTAAGTTATAAATCTCTATCATAACAACTAGCACCAAGTATGCATGTGAAGGTCATTATGTAATGTCAGTGGGCCGAAATGTGATGTTGCCATAAGGGATTGTCACATTCTGGTGTCACAAAAGGCTATACAGTAAATAAATCACGAGAGGTATAATAACATAGCTATTTTTTGTTTGTTTTTTTGTTTGTTTTTATGTTGCAACAACACAGTAGAGGTCATATTGCGACTTTCCAGCTGAATTGTTTGAGGAAGACCTCAGGTGCACCTCTTTATTTCAGGCATAAATGGGCTAGACTAGAACCACCGATGTTCCGTAATCTAGCTATATACAGTCGACTCTCGTTATCTCGAAGTCATCGGGACCATCCAAAAAATATCGAGATAACGAAATGTCGAGATAAACATATCAGGGTAAATTGAATAAGGCAGAAACTGATTTTACAAAAGACATGTGCATACCTTATGTCAAATAAACTATGATAGCCCCATGTCTTGTTTTCATAGGCTTAGTCAATATTTAACAAAGTAACATTAGCGGATGTTTACCAGCAGAAATACGGGTGTCAGTGATAAAAACACATAGTGAGGTTTACTCAGTAATACACCGATATAGTGAAAACATTGTTTTCAGGGTGGTTGATTCGGATATCCTCCCTGGTTATTTATCGGGTCTTTCTCGAGATTGTTTGACTGCTGATTGATTTGGTGGTGATCTTGTGAAACAATATGGCAACGATAGTGTTTCTATACTTGCACGATTTCATTTACATTTCAAGTCATAATGAATTGATACAGTGTTCGAATATTTATAAAGAACGTAAAATTCACTCATTTTGGACATAAGTCAATCAACACGCTAAATAGATTAACACTTTTATAAAAACAGCTTGTTACAAACATAATCATCATTATGACACGCGCAATTGAGCAATTATCGTCTAGTTTGTGCTTTTCTTTTCGTCTGAAGGGAACAGATGAAAGAAAACTATATGTCGAGATAAACAAAGGAAATAGTTTGAAAATAACTGTTGGGGCTGAAATTTTACATTGAGATACTGAAAATATCGAAATAAAAATATCAAGATAAACAAATATTTCCAATATAGATAAAGAAGAAAGAAAATCGGGACTTTCAAAATTTCATCGAGATAACGAAATATCGAGAAAAGCGATGTCGAGATAACGATAGTTGACTTTACTAGATATCTTCCTCACAAGAAAGAATCCAAAGTCCCTAGTGGGATTAGAACCTACAGTGGTGAGGTGCAAGTGCTTTGGTGTCAACAACCTCAACATTTTGCCACATACACCCCCATAATAGCATAACAGCAATCATGATGTCATTAACTCCGTGACATAGAATAAATTTTCACCTACTTACAGTAATTTAGTAAATCAACATATACTTTCTTCAAGTCTTGCCAAACTTTACGCTGTTTAGTGTTAACTACCTAATTTAAACAATGAACTGCCTGAAAACAATAATGGACTGTTCCAAATTCAAAGTTGGGCCGGTCCATTATACAGAATATAGGGATGTTAATGTCCATGTATACATACCTCATCTTCTTGTACTAATTTCTCCATCTTCTCCCAAGTAAAATATTTCAATCCTCGAAGTCTGGCAAGGTCAAGGTAACAATTTGGATCCCCACAATGAAATCTGAAACAATTACAGGAAATTCATATTGTCTCCTTAGTGCAGTCATTGGTAAACTCCTTACATGATTTAATAGTTAACCCGTTATTGCACTAAGGTGACAATCTGACCAGCATGTTTACTATGTTAGAGCTAAAAGTTAAAATGTTCATTGCATTCTAGCAACCAAGCTAAATATCACTTTTGCTGGGAAATAATTGCCTTTTTGCAACAAAATTGCTGGGTTTTTTAAATTTTTTTTATTAGTACAATGTATTTATATAGACAGAAGAAGGGACATTTCAACAATTTTATGTGGTAACTTTCACATTGAAAAACTAAAATCATAAACTAAAGATAAAATCTTGTCTGAGACAAGTTTGTTATGAGAGCTTACAATTCAATAACAGACGCCCAGTCTGGTTGATACAGCATATGAGTGAGACCAGCACCGTGCATTCCAATAAATACATCGCTGTTATGTGATATCTATAAATACAAATAAATCACTGAACAATGTAAAACAAAGTACAAAACATTGTTAAATTGTTAACATCATATTTATTTATTTAAGTTGTATTGTGTTGACAAGTTGAGCCTTAATAATCTGCCAAATTTGTGTATTTGATTTGCCCTTCTTAAAATTCAGAACTTTTAAGACTTTTAGTTTCAAAATACAAAAAATTGAGTATAGAGCCTGGTCATACTGCATTGATACTCAGGGTTTCCTAACTTTATATAATGGTTGCAAACGCAAATCAGTTTCCATTTAAACATGTTATGGCTTTTTTTTCCTTATTTAAATATACAAAATGGTAAGGCAGTTTTTCAGAGAATGAGGAGTACATTGTTAAAGTACAATTTAGACTTTACATTAATGCCATATGGTTCAGCATGGTCTCCATTAAGTTTTGAAATTTGGAAGTCAGAGACTGCAAAATCTTTAACATTGGCAGTCACATTATATAGGTAAGGAAGGAAAGTATTAAATTTTTGAAGTAGCAAGCCAAAGTCAAGGAGTAAATTACTCCAAAACTTCCATTAACGTAAGCCCTGGTTCAGTTCAATTATCATATTTTATAAATAGACACAGCAATTATGTATGTTACACATTACATGTATCATATTTTTTAAGTCAGGGAATCAGGTTATATATTATATAAACTTATAACTGATTGGTTAAGAAAAACAAACTGAAACATAGAGTACATGTATCAAATTATTCATATGTTACCTTAACTTGCTCCAAAAATGGCATTTCCCTGAAATATATATAAATGTTATGTCTTAAATATGTAATTTGTTTGTTAGAATATAAGTTTGTTAATATGTATCAGATGAACCTACAAACTAGCATATCTACATAAATAAAGGACAATGAATCAGTGTATACTTAATACCTAATTTACTGAACAAGTTCAATAAATTATTAAAATCATATTATGCAAGCCTCTGGTGAGCATAATATTGTTTTATTCAACGAGTTCAATAAATATATTATTGAAGCTTCACAAATATAATATTCTATTAATCACATATCTAAAGTAAGAACGTTATACAGTTAAAAAGAGTGAATTGTTGCGCCTATAGTGTAACGCTTAGTTTAGTAAGCTGTAACGCTATGTTTGTATATAGCGCAAATGACGTCACATCAAAGTGTTATCACAGTAGTTTAATATAATTTTCATTAAATGGCATTTATGTGATAAAGAAAATTAATATTTTGTTGACTATTAATTTTTTTTTTATATGTTAACAATAGCATGTGTCCATTTAATATGTTAATATTAGTAATTATAGACTTGTCACACTAGAAACAATAAAATGTTTAATAACTTACTTGGGACTATAAACTACCAGTCTTGCCTCATATTCACCAACAGTTTTCAAGGCTGCCAAAAGCTTTAAAAAAAATATACAAGCATCATGAAATACATCTTCTACATCTTTAATATACAGAAAATATATAACATATATAATACAACCAGTTAAATAATGGCAAAGAAAAATCAATATCTGCCAATATTATCAAATTTTAAAAATTTATTCATATTTTCATTTAAATTTAACCTTACGTTGATTAAAGTCACTGATTTTTTTTCAGTTTTTCTTTGTACTAAAAAAAATGTCCTTTATAAGTTTTTGGGATTCCAATAATCATAAGAGCTGTTGGTAGGACAGCACACTTGCCTATTCTTAGTGTTTGATAGTAAAAGATTGTAAATGGATGTGCAGGCTGACCTGGCTCTAAATTGGAAGTATGGTACATGTAAGTCACAAATTTATTTTAGTTCCATTGTGTTGGGAGCTATAAACTTATTGAAACACTCTCAAAACTGTTCCTGGAACCAACCAGTAGTAAGCAATGAGTGTAAAGTTTCTTGCTCATAGAAACAACGGCTTGCTCCTAACGGGGTTTGAACCCATGCTGACAGAAATCCTTAGATTACTAGTTCAATACATTAACCACTTGGTCATGCCACCACTCAAGTCATTTTTGTTGCAAGAATTCAACAAAAGTTAATAAACTGAAATGAAATGAATATAACTTGTGGGCTACTAGTATAAAATTTCTCCCCTTATCATTAATCATAAAATGTTTAAACTCATGAAACCTGGATAATTGATTGTACCCTTAAAATAATAGATGACCAAATAAATTTCATATAAAAATACAACACAATGGCAAAGTATCCACATGGCTAAAAGAGTGTTATCATTTGACCACTGATGTCCTCTCCACAATATCAACCATCTACAAAACAAGCTTATGACCCCTAGAAGGTCCCAAACTTATATCAGGTTAAAAAGGTAGAACATTATGAACAAAGCAAAACTGCAACTAGTAAAACAGAAAATTATATTGTGTAAAACACCTATATCTTGCAGAAACTAGAAATGCCCCTATATTCTACTGTTTTGTCAGTCTACACAGCAAGACAGATTGACTGATGGATCAGGGAAAATCTATATCCTCTTATGTGTCTTAAAATTTTCATCTTTTGTGTCATTAAAATGGACAATTTCAATATTTATTACAGGCCCGTCGTCACGATTTTGTGATTGGTGCGGCCAATTTGGTATGTTTTAGCCAGAATCTAAGGGGGTACGGGGGCATGCTCCCCCGGAAAATTTTTTATTCTAGGATGCTCTCAGGGGTGTTTTCCCGTATATTTGGCACAGTTTACAGCCTGTCGCTAGTACAAGTTATAGTAATATGTTAACGATTTTTTACAGATTTTAGTGCGTCATATGTTTTAAGGGTGTAAGGTTTGCATAACGGAAGGGCAGGTGTACTTAAAAGATGAATACATGTAATTGATAGTTGGCAAATGAAAAATAAACAATAACTAATGGTGTTATAATTCTTTAGATGCATTTTTATCTGATAATTATAAATAAACAAATACAAGAAATATAACAGTACGTGGATTATTGTTTAACATAAATCACACAATGGTATAAGCTTAAATAGCAATCGATGCCATGATGGAAGAATAGTACATTACGAGTCAACAATAACCACTATTTGTTTAGCAGTATCTTGTATTTTGCTCACAATAATCTTGCAAAAATCAGAGTCTCATTCTATGTAAATTTTCCAAACACACATCGCCGTCGTTCTCTGGTGGTAATGAACTCATCGGCAATTACACGCCAGTTGAGTGAATCTGTCCTGTACTTATATGTAACACCATTAGATTGTTCAAACGTACTTGAGACATTGTCGATCTCATGTATGTCTTTATTCTTCTGAGCTCCTAGAATGTTCTACCACTGGTAACATTAGTAGCAGGCATTACTAACAAAATCTTTAACAACACAACGACTTCAGAGAACAGTGCTCGTTCTAGCACCGACTGTACTGAAACAAATTTCAAAGCGTCAGGTAGAGTAACAGTACTATTTCCTGTTTTTGTCAAAATGTGAACGTAGCAGCTGAAGCTTTTTACATTGGCCATTGCAAGATCAAGTGCTTCAAAGTACTTAGGCCGGAACACGTCCTGCACTGTAATTATGTAATAGAGTAAATTGAATGAGTTTACTACTGAATTTATTTCCAAGAGCTGAATGAAAATATATTACACTAGCCTCTGGCGAGTATATATTTTATTCAAAGAGTTCAATACACTCAGTATGAACTTACACGAATTTAATATTCTGTTTATTACATACCAAAATTAAAGACCTTTTAAAGTGAAAAAAGAACCATTTTTCATTGACCTTAGAAAAACGATAACATTCAGTGTGTATAACGCAAATGACGTCAAAATATATGCACGGCCGTGCAATACCATTTTCACGGAGTCGCAAAACGGCACTGATCAATATGACTGTGATAAAAATATGACTTTTGACGGTTGCCGTGTACAATCAATGAAATGTTAGATCAAGTTCTCGGAGAATTCAGGCATACTAGTTAAAGATATTCATAATGCATATTGCAAATCTCATGCACTGTTTTTTGTTGTTTTTTTTTTATATCATAATATATATAACATTGACGAAAAAATGTACTCACCAAATGTTCGTTTTGGTTGATTTGGTTCGATAGAATTGTGTCACACATCATGGTATTTTAACTATCTTAAACTATTCATATTAAGATACTTGTATGTGAACAGATGTAATTAATTTAAAGAATTGTAAACATATATATGTGTGTATTTAGGATTACTCCTATTATATACGGTGAACTGTCCGAAGCCACGTCTTGACTTCGTAGGACCCTTACATATATATACCTGGTCAATTAACAGTGTCCAGTTGTTTCTTCGCGTCATGTTTGTATGTTACCGCGCATTGCATAAGGGGCCAGTAAAGTGTCTAATTGCTAATCAGCGATGCGTGTTTTTTGTTTTGTTTTTTTTAAACTCATTTTTGGCCAAAATATTGGTCCGGCCAGGGCCGGACCGGCCGGACCATCGACGACGGCCTTGTATTACCGGTACATAATATATTAATATTATTTCTCTTACATATTACAAAACATAATTCCTTGTTGTTAAGAATACTATATTTGGTAAAGAATTTCTCTATCCTATAAGGCTATGATCATGTCAAGGTTTGATTTGTTACATGTAAAAATTTCAACTTAATCACCTAAAAACTATAAGAATATTTCATTCTAGTAAGCTCAACACAGTTACCTTATCTTGGTTTAAAATATTTCTATATTTTGTGTTCCTTGATAGAATAGTTATCCTGATTTTGTTTTCCTGAAACAATTATATAACATATATACATGAACAAAACAGACAGAAGTTAATACAGACTTATAACTTTACAGGTAATGTTTAAGCTGACTTTACATGTAGTTGAAACAAAGAAAAGCATACACAAACAGGCTCAATGAAGGAAAAAAATCTGCCTCAGTTTCATAAACTGATTATGGCTACCTACTATAAAATCAGAAATTTTCACACAAGATTAAATTTCTAAAATTGCACATATTGATGTTTTTTCCTCCAGAAAATAAATGTTAGCTAAGCACATTTATTTGATCTTATGCTTCGCTACAAGCGAAGAGGATAGGTAGGTAGTAAGATGATTTGTATCATATGAATTTAATAGAACTGAAAGCAGAAATTTGAGAATATTTAATCTCGCCAATTAGTCAGAAATGTTGATTTTGCAGCATTTTGACATTGCCAAAATATCTGATTTTACAGTACATGTTGTATTCAAATTTATCTACAGAATGTATACTGAAAACAGGCCTATATTATTGGCCTTATAATGATGTACATTAGATGATAATTTACAAGGTTAAATATACATTCATGTAATAGTTATAAGTAGGGATGGCAACGAATACCAAAATCAATACTTGAGTACTCGATCAATTTTCCGATCGAGTACTTGGTTACTCGGATGATTTTCAATGATCTTTAAAGTTTTTTTCACACAATATCAACACCGTCTGCATGCTACTTTCGTTTTCTATTTTAATTCATAGAATTTGTTACTATAAATAGGACTGCAAGAAATACATATAATAAATATAAACATAAGAAATGTTAGTGACAGCATTTATTATATACCTATAAATTTTCTCCCTAAAATACAGGATAATCTTTACGCTCAAATACGCTTCAATACATAGAAAATTCAGTATTATGTAAGAGAAAAATACAGAACCATATATGGAAGTGCCGGACTATTTTTGACGTTTATTCCGATCTTAGCTGTGTATAAATGTAGCATTTGGAAACGGGAACCAAAATTATAAAAGGCGTGGCCGGTTTTGCAAAAATTACGTATTCATCCGTCGGTCATAAATTTATTTCTTGACAGCTACATTTCATTTTCTGAAATTTCTTATAGAAGTGTAGAATAATGAAAATCATTTATAATTCAAACGAAAAGGTATATAATAAAAGGAAAATATGTTGTAGTAGCTTTCTGAAGCTATGTATTGTTTCTACTCGCAATGTTGGCAAAATACAAAGCCTCAGAAAGCTACTACAACATGAGGATTTACTATGTAGAATATTTACGTTTTTATAATAAAAAAGTTTCGGCTACAAACTGTCTCATAATTAATTAAAGGTGATTAAATATCATAAGTGGCCGAATGACATAAATGACACAAGACTGTGTTCAATCCCATGCGCGTGTCAAACTGCTGATCGCCTCGTTAAAATTACGATATAATTTTCACACCTCTGCAAGGATGTTTTGATTGCATTTAACAAGTATTTATACAGATACAAGTACTTCTCCTAATTTCTGAACTAATTGGATACACCAATCTTTCTAAATCGCAAAAAAGTAGAAATTAAAGTAATCGAATATCAATTTTGTTAACCAATATTCGGACATTCGATCGAGTACTCGGTTAACCGGTTACTCATTGCCATCCCTAGTAATAAGAACAAGTTTGTTAACCCATAACCTTCTGAATTTTTTACATGGAATTTCCCTGACAGTCCATTTGAAAAAAAGGATTCCATTAAAATACAATTGTATAGAGCCTAGTCAATGCAGACTGGATGGTTTCTGCACTGGTTCTAGCAGTTTAACTCATAATAGATGGACTTGTTCAGCTGTCAATCAAGACAAACCAGTCATCATTTCAAGGAAATTTAAAACAAGAGGGCCATGATGGCCCTGAAGTCGCTCACCTGTATATAGCCCCCCCCCCCCCACACACACACCCATAAGAAGATGTTTCATGCTAAACATCTAAGCTCTAGCTCATTGGGCTTTTTAAAAGAAGATTTTCTTTAAAGTTTTTACTATACACATATAGTTAAAAACAATGACACCCCTGGGGCGGGGCCAGTTTTGACCCCACGTCTTTTATTTGAACAAACTTTGTAGACACTTACTAGAAGATGTTTCATGCTTAATATCTAAACTCTAGCTATTTGGATTTTTTCAAAGAAGATTTTAAGTTTTTGCTATACACATATAAGGAAAATCAATGACCCCCGGGGTGGGGCCAATTTTGACCCCAGGGCTTTTATTTGAACAAACTTGGTAGACACCCATAAGAAGATGTTTCATGCTAAACATCTAAGCTCTAGCTCATTGGGCTTTTTAAAAGAAGATTTTAAGTTTTTGCTATACACATATAAGGAAAAACAATGACACCCCTGGGGCGGGGCCAGTTTGACCCCAGGGCTTTTATTTGAACAAACTTTGTAGACACTTACTAGAAGATGTTTCATGCTTAATATCTAAACACTAACTATTTGGGTTTTTTCAAAGAAGATTTTTTAAGTTTTTGCTATACACATATAAGGAAAATCAATGACCCCCGGGGCTGGGCCAATTTTGACCCCAGATCTTTTATTTGAACAAACTTTGTAGACACTCACTAGAAGATGTTTCATGCTTAATATCTAAACACTAGCTATTTGGGTTTTTTCAAAGAAGATTTTTTAAGTTTTTGCTATACACATATAAGGAAAATCAATGACCCCCGGGGCGGGGCCAATTTTGACCCCAGGGCTTTTATTTGAACAAACTTGGTAGACACCCATTACAACATGTTTCATGCTAAATATCTTAGCTCTAGCTCTTTGAGTTCTTTAAAAGAAGATTTTTTAGGTTTTTACTATATGCATATAGGGAAAATCAATGACCCCCTGGGGCGGGGCCAATTTTGACCCCAGGGCTTTTATTTGAACAAACTTGGTAGACACTCATTAGAACATGTTTCATGCTAAATATCTTAGCTCTAGCTCTTTGGGTTCTTTAAAAGAAGATTTTTTAAGTTTTTACTATATGCATATAGGGAAAATCAATGACCCCCTGGGGCGGGGCCAATTTTGACCCCAGGGCTTTTATTTGAACAAACTTGGTAGACACTCACTAGAAGATGTTTCATGCCAAATATCTAAGCTCTAGCTCTTAGGGTTTTTTAAAAGAAGATATTTAAAGTTTTTTCTTTCGGTTGCCATGGCAACCAGAGTTCTGCATGGAATTAAATTCTTTGAACAATTTTTAAAGGTGACCACCAAAGGAACATTCCTGTGAAGTTTGGATGAAATTGGCCTAGTGGTTTATGAGGAGATGTCAAGTAAAAGTTTACGGACGACGGACGCCGGACGAAAAGCGATCACAAAAGCTCACCCTGTCACTTTGTGACAGGTGAGCTAAAAAGAACAGTGCTGACCGTGATCAGACGGCACAGATGTACTGGCTGATAGTGGTCGGCACTGGTTGGCACTGGTCACATAGATAAATTCAGGTGCCAACAGCTTGCTAATGGTTAAAATTAGCATTAGATATCAATGTAAAAGAACCATTGTACCACAATTAAAGGCAAAAATATCATTTTCTGTCCTATATTAACCATGGTTAGTGTTTTATAATACATAAATTATATACAGAAGTAAGAGGTTTATAATAAGTAGTAAACAATTATGTATGTTATAAAAATAATTAATATAAGAAAATCACAAATTGTTTAATTATCAAAACTTACAAGAGGACCTTCCTGAGGTATATGTAATCTGTGGACAAGATGAGCTGAAAATGCTTGAAACAAGCTGCTGCCATGGCAACCAGGTATCTATGTAAAATTGTAAAATTGAAACTTCAGCATAATACTTAATATTATTGTGCATTTTATTTAAAATAGGAGAAAAATATTGCAAACTGTAGTATAAAAATGCATAAATTCTGTGAAAAAATATCAAAACATGATTTGTGAAATAAAGAATTAAGCATAAATATAATGATAATGGCAATTTATTATAACTATCATGTCTAATATAAGAATATCACAATGGCTGCCAGTACTGATGGGAAGTCCATCCTGAAGGAATCTGTTTTAGGCAACAACAAGATTCAGCAAACTTTCTGCTAAACAGTTACCTGAGAACTGGTACTTGCAGCCAATGTTTGATTCTTTTTCTTGAATAGATCTACTGTATTTGTAGTTTGAAAAGAAATAACTAAAAGTATCAACAAACATAAAGGAACAGCTTTTAATAACTTATCTTCAGAAGTTATTATTATCTTATGGCTTGTCTGTCTATTAGCAGTGACTTATAAGGAGACCTTTACAATATGTCTACAAAATTTACAAGGAAAAACATGCCTAGAATTAAAATCATGATTCCAATATCAGGAAAAAGTGCTCCCTCGAAAGCATTAAAAAACAGCAAAATTACATGAAAATTGCAGACTCAGTTTGATTGAGTCTGTACATGAGGGATAATGAAAAAGTGATCCTGAATGATCAGAAAAATATAACAACATTGAAGTCATGTTCATCTGGCATGGCATCAGGTAGGTTAAAGAAGATACGAGAATAAATCGTGTCTGATACTCACTAGTGGCATGTTATAAAACATTCCCCATCTCATCCTAGGTAATAGTGGAAACATTGCTTCTTTTATACACACCTACAAAATAGGATAACCAATGTTTACATACAAATTTCCTTATTTAGAGTACCCTATATTCTCAAATAGCCCAACCCTTGACAAAGAAAAAGGACACTGAGTTATATGTAAGTTATATTTAGTTTTATGTAAGTTCAAACATACATGTTTATCATTCTACAATACTTCAGTTCACACTTACATGTTCATTTCAAACTTATACAGATATCTATGAAATTTAAATTAATAGTTACATGTTAATCATTTTACAGTATTTACCATTATAAGATATTTAATTTCAAACTTACACATTTATCATTTTACGATATTTTAGTTAAAATGTCATGTTTATCAGTCTACATTATTAAAGATTGTTCTTGCATATGTATCATTCTATGATATGTAAGTTCAAACTTACATATTTATCATCTACGATATTTAAGTTTAAACTTTCATGTTTATCAATCTACAATATTAAAGTTTGTTCTTGCATATTCATCATTCTGTGATATTTAAGTTTAAAGTTACACGTTTATCATCTATAATATTTATAGATAGATAGATTTATTTCGGCATAAAGGTAAACATGTTACATGATAAACAAACACAATATAGATTAAAACAATTACAAATAAATAAATAAATAAATGAATAAATACTATATTATGTAAACCATAACATGTTCCCAAAACCAAGGATAACACAAAAAAGAGCAAGCTCTTATTTCCATTGTGGTCCTTAGCATTTGGTGGCATGACATAGAGAGGTATTTCATAAAAGAAAAAAAAAATATCACAAATTATAAGATAAATCACATTAATGAAGGATATCATTTAAAATCATCACAATTTAAGATGTAAGGTATTGTAAATAAAAAGTCATTATCACATTAAGAAATAAGTATGTGCATAGTAAGAAAGGATTACATTAAAAAAAAAAATAAAAAAATATCTATTTAAGTTCATATGTGCATGTTTATCATTCTACAATATTTAAGTTCAAACTTACACGTTTATCATTTTATGATATTTAAGTTCATACTTACATGTTTATCATCCTACAATATTTAAGTTTATTCTTACACGTTTATCATTTTATGATATTTAAGTTCAAATTTACACAATTATTATTTATGATATTTAAGTTTATACTTACACGTTTATCATCAAAGTCACGTATATACTTCATCTTATGCTGTGTAAAAGCTTCAAAGGTCTCTTTAAATAAATCAAAATAATTTCGCTGACTCTGAAACCATATAAAAACATCTAGAATGTAAATTTGGAAAGTTAGGTACAAAAACATTTTGCAGTTATGTCAAATTGACTGTGTAACTTTTTATATCTTACACAAAATTCTCTGCTCATATTTAACAATAACTGCCACAAAACATTTGTTTAAGTTGAAGAATCATAGGTTAGAAGTTAAAACATTTATAATTTGTAACTTATCATACATCTATGTGATACTTTAAACTTTTATGTCATACTAAATCAACCATCAGCTCTAATTATTTCATTAAATTTTGCAATTTGTATTACCTATCTCATTGTTAGGTTAAGATTAAAACATTTATATGTAAGTATCTCAGAATACTTCATAAATGTTCAAGGACAATTACCATTTCAAACATGACAACTGATTTCATAATACTATTAGCTTAAAGTCTAGCAAAGTACAAAATAAAGTACAAAAGCAAAGTGCTAAAAATGATACAAATTAACTGCATGATAATATATTATCAACACATAATCTAGAACAATTCTGGGAGACTATAAAACTGGAACAATTCTAGAATAATAGCATAAAACTGGAACCATTCTAGAATAATAACATAAAACTGGAACCATTCTAGAATAAAAACATAAAACTGGAACCATTCTAGAATAATAACATCAAACTGAAACAATTCTAGAAAAACTCAATACTAGAAAAGTTATAGAAGAACAAAAAATTGGAACAATTCTAGAACAACTTGAACAATTGAAGAAAAGAGCATATAACTGCAACAATTCTGTGTCAATAAATTGGAACAATTCCTGATGAAGAACATTAAACTCGAACGATTCTACATGAACATAAAACTACACTTCTGAAAGAGCATAAAACTGAAATTATTCTAGAAAACAATAAACTACAACAATTTTAGAAGGACACAAAACTGGAACAATTCTAGAAGAGAAACATAATACTAGATCAATTCCAGAAGAATACACGAGCTGTCAGTAGAATAGTATCCTCGACTATATTAAGTGCCTGAAAGAAAAAGAAGAGCCAGGGTAATGTTAGTGCCTGAAAGAAAAAGAAGAGCCAGGGTAATGTAGAATTTTCTAAGTTCAAAATGGGCATTTTTTTGTCAAAATCCACGTAAGACTTATAGGCCTGAGACAGTGAACCATCATGCTCCTAAATAAGTGTGTGCAGTGTCAACCCATTCCCTTCAGTTTTTTTTTTTTGAGATACTAACTTGCATGCAAAAGTGATAATCCGCAGTTTGGGTGAGTCCAATAGCTTTCACTATTCTTCAAATAGTCAAGCTAATGAACTAGAACAATTCTAGAAGAACATAAAATAAGAAAAATTCCATAATGAAGTACATTAAACTGGAACAATTCTAGAACATAAAACTGGAACAATGCTAAAAGAACATACAACTAGAATAATTCTAGATGAAGAACATAACTGGAACAATTCTAGAACAGAAAACTGGAACAATTCTTGAACATAAAACTAGGACAAATTCTAAAAGAACATAAAACTAGAACAATGCTAGAAGAAGAACATAAAACTGGAACAATTCTAGAAGAACATAACACTACAACAATTCTAAATGTAGATGAGGTAAATTATCACATCACTTACTGTATCCCAGTTAATCACGTATATATCTGTACTAAATGAATTGTTGACATGTTGACTAGTGTAGTAATTAATAAAATCACAATAGTGGTGAAACATATTCACACCTGTAAATTAAACAAATTCCAATAATCAGAAAATTACACACTCTTAAGTTTACTTTTGTAGAATGCCTTTTACTTAATTTATGATGTAAAACAATTGAGGTTAATTGAACCAGTTATCTTTCAATTACAAAAACTAGAACAAATTTGAATCCCTTATAATGATTGCATTAACCTCAGGTTACTTATCCTCAAGACCTTTATTTGTGTATGTGGGGGAGGGGGGGATCAACAAAGTCAAATGACAACTTTCCAGTTTTACTGGTGAAGGAAGACCTCAGGTGCACCTTTGTGGATTATTATAGGCATAAACAGTCACCCGAGTAGAACCAACGACCTTCTGTAAGCTACGGTAGCTGGACAGCTGTCTCACAAAGAAAGAAACTGAAGAAGCCGGCGCGGCTCAAACCTACAAGATCTTTTCTCAACAACATACAATTTATCCATGTTATACAAAATAGCATGATTACCTGCATCCAGCTTCGTAAACATCACTGGTTTATCTATAATTATATCACAGTTTTCGTTGTTTATTGGTTTAAATGGAAGAGATGAATAATGTTCAACTTCTGCAAACCTGGAGAATGAAAACATTAAGGTGTGACCACATTCTTATGACACAAAAATCATACATGTAGAGCTAAACAAGATTACGGATCATTAATGCATTACACATTACTATTTTGTTACATACAGACACACAATATTGTCCTTATTTCTCTCAAGTGATTCATACTCTCAGTGCCTGAAAGGGCGGATGTACCCTCATTAAGCATTGAATACACACTCTTTATTTCTCTATGCCTAGATCTCAATAGCTATATGCCTGGAAAGAAGCAAACAGGATCCCCATTCCTGAACATGAGTATTTCCAAACTTAATCCTGGTTTCCTCCTTAGAAATTAAGACTTCAATTAAATTCACCTCTGTAACATGGCAAAAAATGTTTCAAACAATAAAGGTTCAGTAACTGTAAGCCAATAAATCTACATTTTAGATTGATTTTAAAAAAAGGGAGACAGGAATTATGATTCTGGCATGGAGTTCATAAATAAAATTCTACAAAAACAAAGCTAAAATGTTCCAAGCCCTGTGAAGCAATTTGTTCAAATATTAAGTTGTTAAATTATTTTTTCAAAAGAAAAGTTATAACTATTTCAAAACAAGATTGCATTTGAGAAAAATGCTATGCCACAGCATTAATACAACACTAAGCCTTGTACCTTCAGACAATAAGATTTTTTGATTTTTTTACTATATGTATATATTGAAATTCAATGACCCCCGGGGCGGGGCAATTTTTACCCCAGGTCTATAATTTTAACAATCGTGCTAGAGGTTCACTACACAATGTTTCATGCAAAATATCTAACCTCTAGCATTTGTCAATTGCTAGAAGAAATTTTTTTAAAGTTTTTACTATATACATATAAGGAAAACCAATGACCCCCGAGGCGGGGCCGATTTTGACCCCAGGGCTATTATTTGAACAATCTGGGTCTACCAGACAATGCCTTATGCAAAAATATCTAAGCTCTAGGCCTTTTGGGTCTTTACTAGAAGGTATTTTAAGTTTTTACTATATGTACATAATAGTAAAAATCAATGACCCCCAGGGTGGGGCCGATTTTGACCCCAGGGCTATAATTTGAACAATCTTGGTAAGGGTCTACCAGACAATGCCTTATGCAAAATATCTAAGCTCTAGGCCTTTTGGGTCTTTACAAGAAGGTTACTTTAAGTTTTTACTATATGTACATATAGTGAAAATCAATGACCCCCGGGGCGGGCCGATTTTGACCCCAGGGCTATAATTTAAACAATCTTGGTAGAGGTCTACCAGAATATGACTTATGCAAAATATCTAAGCTCTAGGCTTTTTAGGTCTTTACAAGAAGATTTTTTTAATTTATTCTTATAATTCCTTTTGGTTGCCATGGCAACCAGATTTCTGCATGAAATGAAATTCTTTGAACAACTTTGGAAGCCCTTCACCCAAGGATAAATCCTGCCAAGTTTGGTTGAAATTGGACTAGTGGTTTTTCACACGAAGATTTTTTAAGTTCACTATATAATCTATAGACAAACACACAGGTGAATCGCTGTATGCCACCGCATCGCAGATGCTGTGGTGGCATAAAAAATCAAAAGCACTCATCAGGTTCTAAAATCACAACCAGAATCTGGTTTATATTAGGCTTAAAAACACTCTTAAAATGGACAGAATGCAGAATATATATGTAAAGTACCATGATTGGAGAGGACTTTTATGTTCTCCCTCCGCTTTAAGCAGACGTTTATTGAGTTCACAATGTCCCCCTATCTCACCATCTAACAAAAAATCTTCTTGAAAACTGAAATACAAGATGATAAGAATTGAAAAGTTCTTACATAAAACCCAATGAATTATATATTTACAATACTGAAAATGGGTCATATTTCTATTTATCTGACACCTATTAGAATGTAACCAATGAATTATCAGCGTTTTCACCTTGTGATCTGCAAATATAAATAATTTGAACCAATCTTATTGGTTTAGCATTGTTTTTATTTTCTTAACCCGAAAATTCCATATCAAATCCATATATCACTCAATAAAACCTTATTTTTATTTACAAAGTCCAAAACATCCATATCAATTTCATACTGTGATCTGATGGCCTTATTTTCATTTTCCAGACTGCAATCTATATCAATTCCATATTGTACTCTGTCTAGATTGTTTTGATTTTGAGAGTTAAAAAATCCATATCACATAAATATTAAACTCAAGGTAACAAGGTTCTGTAAACTATGTCGTGACATAAAGAGGTTTTCATACAATATTTATTCTGACAGACTAGTTCATAGCTGCAAAACTGTCATATTCCACCACAGGCACACACTAATACAAGAACAAGAGCTGTGAGGACAGCATGCTTAAATAGTCTCGGAACATGATAATAAAACAAGAGCCTACACAATGTAAGAATTATCAGAGGAAAATTTATTTGAAAAACATAACACAGTTATATGTCTGGGATAGTGACCCTGGTATTTTAAGTTCACACCAAGATACATTTCCTAATTTCTGTTTTTGGATGTGTCTTACATGGCACCAACACTTACTGTTAGGTGAAGACCTCAGCATTAAATTTCAGTCACAAACGGCACTTCTCACATGAAAAAATCGAAGGTCCCTGACAGGATTTTATCCCTCAGCAATGAGTGACAAGTGATTTGAAGTGGCTGTCATTACACTCCGGCCATGGAGGCCCATTTATTGTTATTTTCACTTATTTATAGCAAAACTGATGTGATTAAATTCTTTTGTTGCAACTTCCTCACAATCAGATTGGAATTAGAAAATTAATTTATCACATTCCAATGCCCATTTTGTGTTTCCGTAAAAATGGTATTGCACAACCGTGCATATATTTTTATGTGACGTCATTTACGTAATACAAACATAGTGTAAAGATGCGCTTATGTATTAGCATTACACTGTAGACACGTCAATGAAAAATGATTCTTTCGCACTCTTCAAAGTCTTTCTTTGGATAAATAAAATATTACACTCATGAAGGTTCATTACTGAATTTATTGAACTTGTTAAATACAATAATATCATGCTCGCGTAATGTAATTTATTAAATTTGTTCAATAAATTCAGTATTGAACCTACACTCATTCAATAGCCTCTATTTCTCATTAAAATACTATAAATCTATTTTTATTAAATAGTTAAGCTAAAAATACTTACTTTTCATTAGCTGTAAAAGTTGCATGTCTAAAGTCTAAATAAATATTTTTTGCATAGCAATATCTTGCATATTTTGAGCATTCCAAGCTGGAATCATCCTGAAATACACAAATCATTGAGTTTATATTCCTTCCTTATGTCACAGGCAAAAATACAATAGATTGTTTTATTATTAGTAATTAATTAAGATTTTTACAACAAATATGAACAGTAACAAGAGCTGTCGGTAGGACAGCAACGCTCGACTATTCTAGTGCTTGATAGTAAAAAATAATGCTTGATAGAGTTACCTACTCCTGTTTACAGGTTGGGGTCATGATGGTGAACAAGTGTGCAAAGTTTCAAAGCCATATGTCAATGGACTTTGAAAATATTTAAACTATTACAAAAACTTTAACATAAATTCTAAGTCGAAAAAGGGGCATAATTCTGTAAAATGCTTGATAGAGTTACCTCCTCCTGTCTACAGGTTGGTGTCATGATGGTGAACAAGTGTGCAAAGTTTCAAAGCCATATGTCAATGGACTTTGAAAATATTTGAACTATTACAAAAACTTTAACCTAAATTGTAAGTCGAAAAAGGGGCATAATTCTGTGAAAATGCTTGATACAGTTACCTCCTCCTGTCTACAGGTTGGGGTCATGATGGTGAACAAGTGTGCAAAGTTTCAAAGGCATATGTCAATGGACTTTGAAAATATTTGAACTATTACAAAAACTTTAACATAAATTCTAAGTTGAAAAAGGGGCATAATTCTGTGAAAATGCTTGATAGAGTTACCTCCTCCTGTCTACAGGTTGGGGTCATGATGGTGAACAAGTGTGCAAAGTTTCAAAGCCATATGTCAATGGACTTCGAAAATATTTGAACTATTACAAAAACTTTAACGTAAATTCTAAGTCGAAAAAGGGGCATAATTCTGTCAAAATGCTTGATAGAGTTACCTCCTCCTGTCTACAGGTTGGGGTCATGATGGTGAATAAGTGTGCAAAGTTTCAAAGGCATATGTCAATGGACTTTGAAAATATTTGAACTATTACAAAAACTTTAACATAAATTCTAAGTTGAAAAAGGGGCATAATTCTGTCAAAATGCTTGATAGAGTTACCTCCTCCTGTCTACAGGTTGGGGTCATGATGGTGAACAAGTGTGCAAAGTTTCAAAGCCATATGTCAATGGACTTTGAAAATATTTGAACTATTACAAAAACTTTAACATAAGTGGTTACGCCGACGCCGACGCTCGGGTGACTACAATAGCTCTACTTATTCTTATCGAATAGTCGAGCTAAAAATAGACATAAGCATAATATAGTAAACACCCATGTAAACTACTAGTTATAAAGATTTTTGACAGGTAATAAGGTTATACGGCCATATATAAATTGTTGTTTGGAAATAGTGGCTTGGGTTATATTGCAAACAACCGTTTATATAGGCTCATATGACCTGTCAGAAATATTTATAACAAATTTATAATACAGCAAGAATCTGATTTTAAAGAGGAGAGTGAGATTTCTTCATAAATTGACAGCAGCCGTGTATATCTAATATAAATCTATATAAATGTCATGATTATGCAATTAAAAGCAACGTTACAAACATGCAGTATTATAAACAGTCATATAATATGTAAAGTCATATCAAATTTATAACACTGCACAATTGCATTCTTAAAATGGAGAGAAAAAAAAATCATTAATTTGCAGTAGATGTGTAGTTGTATCTAGATAATATAAAAACAATCATCCAATCAAAATGGATGTAACAAGCTTCCAGTATATTAAGCTAATTAAATATTTGTTGACCACTTTGTTTACAATTTTTTCACAGAGACTCTAGATTGAGACTGAATTATCACCTTCTTGGACTGACTTCTTATTCCAGTAGTGAGTCCTATTTAACCAGCAAGCCATTTTATGGACATATCTTGTTTAGATTAATGGTTCTGAAATATTTCTGCAGCTTTTTAAAATGCGAGTAATTTTCAAAAGAAACAGGAACAGCCTTCTTTAGGATAACTATGTCTGGTTTCAATGTGATCCAGACCATTATTTAATCAGTGACTGCCACAGGATTGCCATCATGACTTTGGATGTAACAAAATAAGCCAAAGTCCCATAATGGTGAGGGGCTGGTGGTTTGAAGTCAGCAACTTTAACCACTAGGCCTTTTGACAGAATAACTAACTGTTCTATCTACCTGAGATTTTGGAACACAAAAGGCTTTCATTTCATTCCTCCTCTCCTGTACATAACCAAAGTCAGCACCTTTCCAGAATTGATCTATTTGGTCCTCCTTTGTGTTTGCCCTGTACAAAAAACAACAACAACAATCATTCTCACAAAAAAAAATATCAGAGACTTTCATAATTATTGGAAATCATTTCCAAGAAAATCAAAACATAATTATCATTTACCATTCTAATAACAGGAAACTAACAGCAGTGATGACATTTTTGGCAAAGTTGAAAGCCTTATTTATGTTCTTCTTTTATAGATGAGTGACTTCCACAATTGCTGACATTTTAGTAAGAGAGGACATAATAGCGCAATACAGTTAATTCGATAAATATTTATATACCACACAGTTACTTTCTCATAGACAAAAGATTTACAAACATCACTTTCATCTTTTGCTGTTAAAATCATGATATTAGGTGTACATTCTAACAAAGATAACTTATTCATATCCTGGCTAGAACAAGAATATAACATCCTAACAAAGGCAAGATGTCAATATTCTGAGATAAGCAAGATGTTTATATCATGAACAGGCTTGTATCACAGACAAATGCAAGATGACGGCAAGTTTACATCCTGACAAAGGCAAGAGGTTTATAGCCTGACAAAGGCAAGAGGTTTATAGCCTGACAAAGGCAAGAGGTTTATAGCCTGACAAAGGCAAGAGGTTTATAGCCTGACAAAGGCAAGAGGTTTATAGCCTGACAAAGGCAAGAGGTTTATAGCCTGACAAAGGCAAGAGGTATATAGCCTGACAAAGGCAAGAGGTATATAGCCTGACAAAGGCAAGAGGTTTATAGCCTGACAAAGGCAAGAGGTTTATAGCCTGACAAAGGCAAGAGGTTTATAGCCTGACAAAGGCAAGAGGTTTATAGCCTGACAAAGGCAAGAGGTTTATAGCCTGACAAAGGCAAGAGGTATATACATTGTATCATGAACAGGTTTGTAAATGCAAGATGTTTATATACTGACAAAGGCCTAAACAAGAAGTTTTTATATTCTTAACTAGATGTTTACATTCTAGCAGAGGTGAGACAAAAAGAAGAGGTCTACTTTAACATTTTAACACATACAAGAGTACTAGTATCTGACAAAAACAATGAGAAAAGATAGGAGGTTATCTTTTAAGCAAAGAAATAAAATGTAATTGCATCTTCAACCCATTACTCGATATACACGCCTTTTAACGCCTTTTCAACCCCCCCCCTTTTTTTGTTGTCTCAAATGGTTAAAAAATGCCTTATTTAGGCCCCTAACACTTGTTTTTGTTTATTTCAACGACTTTTGGCAATTTTGAGATGTTACAACTGTGCCATGGTAACAGGAAATTTAAGACTGAGCACGTTGTTAAAAAGGCAATGGTCCAGTCAACATTTGTGCCAAGTTTAAGCAGTTCTTATAGTTTTATAGCAATTTGAACTTGAAACGGGAGACTTTTCAATGAAAACAGCCATTTTTCACAAAATACTCATGCGGTTATGGGTTAACAATAAACTTACCATCCTCTGCTATCACCAGGGCATTCTGGTACGGACATTCTATTTTCAACCGGACATTTTTTCTCATACCCCCAACACCTCTTCTTCTTAAGTGTCATCTAAAAAGACCAACAAGCAATGATCAGTATTTCAAATGCTTCAGCAGTTCAATTAATTTATTTTATGAATGAAAATGCCATTGAAAAGTGTGGTTCACATTATATCAATATAATTATGTTGGACAAGTAACCTGGAATTACCAATTTCTCTGCAAAAGACCAATTAGTAATTCCGCATGATTTCTGAATCATCAGTGAGAGACGAATGACCATATGACTCAATGTCCATGATCCATTTCACAGAGAAATTTCTCCATGCATAAGGATCGAATCAGCAAACCCTGGTTGGCTAATCCAATGCTCTCCCTACTGAGCTTATTATGTAATTCTTAGGAAATGCCTTGAGTTGTGTATTAACAGCTATCTGAAATCTAGTTTAACCAACTGAAAATCTGTCTGTTTGACATGTATATTGTCTGGAAAAAAATCTGAACTATAATATACTACATGTTGTAGTCTTAGACTGTAGGAAGTAACAGATTCTACTCATGCTGCCAGTGCAGACCAAGAACAGCTGACACATCTATGCCATATAATCATGGTTTGTACTGGTCACTATTCAGTCATATGAGATCTTCAAGTTAAAATATATAGGCTGCCAAGAAAGGAACAGTAATCGGATGTAACAAGACATGGTACATATTGAATTGTATATGCTTGCAAAGCCAGGGTACAGTGATTCTGTTTATACACAGCGGCATTTACAAAAAATACTTCCAGTTTCAGATCACATAGGTATACAAAATAAGGTATATATTGGTAGGATCTCACATGACTTCCCTTGTGATGAAAGATTGGATAAAATGAGTTCAAGAAAATGTTATAAACCAAGCCACTTTCCAGTTTTATATTAACATATCAACTTTTCCTTGGATAAGTTTATTAAAATTTTATAATACTAAGACAAAGAATAAAATGTCAAAAAATAAAGGATTCTTTTATCAAATGACGAAACAAAGTAAATTTAATGAAAATTCACTTGTTTTACATTCTGCTACTTTATGCCATTTCCTTTTTATAAATACATGTAGAATAAGTGAAAAAGATGTCACGACAAAGTTAAATTACACTTGTGAAATATAAAGAACAATTGTGTAATATAAAGTACATGTGTGTAATATAAAGAACTCGTGTGTGATATAAAGAACATGTGTGTAAAATAATGAACATGTGTGTAATATAAAGAATATAAAGAACATATGCTTAATATAAAGTACTAGTGTGTAATATTAAGAACTTGTGTGTAATATAAAGAACATGTGTGTAAAATAAAGAAATACATAACAGCTATATAGCATAGAAACCAAACTATATAGCATAGAAACCAAACTATGTCATGTGATAAAAACATTATTAAAGAACTCAATATTCATGTGATATTATTTTAGAACTCTATATTTATATCTTTGTTTAATGAATAAGATAGTAACTATGATATATGACAGATGTTCACAAAAGACCTTTGTATTGAAAGTAAATAGACAGTTTACCAGTTGTTACTCACCAGTTGTTACTTTATCATTTAATCAAGTACAACATTCTGAAACATGTATTCCTATCTAGTATAAAAAGTAATTTTTTTAGCAAAACTTAGAATTTATGCCTCAAAAATTTAGAAAATTTAGAAATACATGTATCTCTAGTTATATTTTATTCCTACATATAGGCAAGGTGATATTAAATGAGAAAAAGCATATGGCTTTCATGGCAGTTAAGATAGCCGACTTCAAATTGGTTCGAACCCCTGAATGAACTCAGAATTCTGCCACGTGAGGAAGCTATCAAGCTAGCATATGAAAGATTGGTAGAAGGGGTGTCACGATTAGAAAAAATGCTAACCATTTAAACGGCGATGAAATAACCGTGTTAAACGTTTAACCGACCTTACTAATAAAATCCTTAGATTTTCAACATTAACTTTGTTTCTTTATGACAAGATATGCCGTTTTGTTAATATTTTCTTGTACTCAAAATGATTACAATACATTTCCGTATATGGAGTATTTATTTTCAACTAGGGTTGAGTACAACTAAAATACAAACAATTGTCATATCTTGTTATAAAAAAAACTTTAGAATCAATTTTTAATATTTCCTCCCCTTAGTCAAATACTTACTCAGTTACCAGTAATTGAATTTTCTAACCGTTTTTTTAGCTAAAAACCGACCGTACCCGTTTAAATGGATTAATGTGACGCCCCTATAGTTGGTAGTTAAACAAGGTAAGTCTTATAACATAACACCTGACCTGTGGAAAATTAAAATATTACCTTATATGGGCAATCATCATCTTCCTTGCATAGATCCTTAATATAAGGATTGTTGTTGAAGTAGTAAGGTATGTGTCTGACTGGAAGATTCAGCTCGCTCCAGTTATAACCATGGCAACACAGGCAAAACAGCAAGGGAGATAACCATGTTAACTGCCATATCATTCTGAAAATATATCACCGAAATCTAAACAAAACACACCAAAATTTCAATGTATCAGTATAAATGAAACAAAAATAAACACAAATTACAGATAAATGATATTTTACCTTGAGTTGAGTTGAAAAGTTAAATCTGTTTAAGCATATATGTATCTCAGGCTACTGGCTATCAGTAAACTAATGACAAAACATCATATTATCACCTACATATATATATATGTATACTGCAAACAAAAAGTTTTGAGTAAATTTAAAGGGACTCCACTGAGGGTTTTTTTTGACATGATGGGAATGAAAATATTTTTTCCTGATAAATGTACCACTTGATGTAGGTTTAGACCACTAATTTTTGTGCAAAATTTTAGATCATTCGCACACTTTGTTTTTCCAGAATAGTTATTCAAATTGTAAAAAAATGACCCAAAATGAAAAGCGTTTAAATGCTTTTCACTCAAATCGAGCTAAGAAAAGCATGAAAATACGATTTTCAATTTATTTCAAAGTATATTTCTTAACTATCTTTGCATATATTTCTGTTTAAAGTACCCCAGCTCATTCATGTAAGAAATTCAAATGTTATGTTTTAAGGCTTTTAAACCTCAGTGGAGTCCCTTTAATATTTAACTCTAATTACAATGCTAAATATCTAAAATGAACTTGTCGTCAATCTCTCTGGAGAAAACCACCGATATTTTTTCTCAGCAAAAATTTCAAAATAAGTACAAACTGAAAAGTGTAATGAACAGACCGTGCTCAGACTGCACGGATGTGCTCTGCACTTGTCCCATTGGTGGAATCAGTTACCACTGGCAGGCTAAGAGTTAATGTTTAATTCTGTTAATTATATTTCTATCTTCCATGTTCTTATCAAATTTTTTGTAACAATCTCAAATTTCAAATTACAATGTATTAATTAGAAAACATAACTATCTCAGTCCTATCACAGTGTCTCAACATTTGCCAAACAGTTAATTGCTTTCCTGAAACATTTTTTCATATATTATATTTTAAAGAATGTTATATCAAAACAAATTCTCTATAGTTATTATTTTGGTGACATTTTACAAACATTACATGTATATGATAACTGAATTAAGGCATTCAGTCCAGAAAAACTTCCTATAAGGAACATTATATGGTAATATATCGTAAATTAATAATCCAACATTGTCCGTCAAAAGATAACATTAAAAAAACCCTCCTGATAAGGTATATTTTATCAATTTATTATCAGATAAGTCAGTGAGTCACAATTATATTCTCTTATTAACATATAACACACTAATATAGTAACATAATATTCATCTTTTAAAGCCAAGAAAAATTACAAACTTTCTTGCCGAAGTATACATCAATTTTACAATACATTTAAATGTATATATGAGCAAGTTATACCATCTGTTGTTAATATAATGAACACCTATAAATGTACTTTATTGTTTTATGTATTTCATTTTTTATCAATATATCTTATAGATGTATTAATTTTCCTTTAACCTTTAAGCTGCTGTCAGAAGAAAAAAATAAGTTAATTTTAAAGAATCAAACTTGAGAGTCAAATGTTCACAATTGATTTGGCACAGTCCAAGTAACATGAATTCTCTCTATGTAATACCATATAATTTAAACCCTTATCAAACCTGCCGGAACCTCCTAATTAGCCTTTGCCACCAGAGTAGAACCACTGACATCATGGCCAGCCTGCTCTGATGATGATCCATGCGACTAAAGATCAAGCTCTGGTAACTGATTTAATATATTTTGATATTGAAATCCCTTAAAATCTAAGTGGACTAATCCAAATTCAAAAACAGGGCAAATACATTACAAAAATTCAGCAGGTTAAGGATTTAAGACAGGGCATGTGGGCCTACTCTGCAATGCACAATGTATCAGATATCAGAGTGTGTGGATCAAACCATGCTTTTCATGATACATTTTATACCTAAACAATATATAATACTTTATTCTATGTCTTTAAATATATATATCTAATACTTTACATTTGTATAAATATATTTAAAGGCACATCATGACTAAGAAAGCTATATTTTTTTAATTCTAGCATGTTAGATGTTTAACTGAAAAAGAAGCACTGAACATGCAGTTGTGTATCATAAAGGTAGCAAAATGTTTATAATGAAGTATTTTGACTTCCATACACAATACTCATGCACTATATTAAAAGCAAATGAATATATTTTGGTAATCTGTTTCATGATACGAAAAATAAACAGTTATAAGGAGATAAACATGATATCATTTCAGTGGCATAATGGGCCTTTAAGTCAGATCACTGGTATACACATTTATATGCAAGATAGATCATTACAATAATGGCAGACATTTGTCACCTGTCTAACATGAAAGCCGCTTAAAGTTGATGTTACTGTACAAACATGACCTCTCTCCTATCAAGGTTAAGTACTAACCTTAAGCATTTCCTGTCACCATTTATGACTAATACAATTGCTTCCCTTAAATACATGATTAAGTTTAACCCTTAACCTCTTCAAGTAGTGCAATGATTATGGACTTGTCCAGAGTTAAATTTAAATTTTAAGGGATTACAATATGAAACACAAAAATTAAGCTAATTAATCACTTTCCATTCCAGCATTTTATTATGTGTTTAAAACTTCCAAACTTTTATAAGATTAAGACTGGTCAGTACTAGTATTATAAAAAAACCTTTATATTTAATCAACATCTTTTCACTTTTATACATCTAAACATTTCCTTCTTTAAAAAAATAATTTTTGGAAAAATGAACAATTTTCATGAGATAAGGAACCAAACAGAGTACATGTATTAATGCTTTTGGTAAAGGAATGAGGTATAACTATGAGGCCAGCCTCAAAACTATCTTTGTTTCCCTACCCACAACTCATTCCAGTTTGGAAACGGTAGGTAAAAAAAATTTTTTTCATCTAAAATATTTATTGCACTATATCTGAATGTTGATTTAGAGAAAAGAGGAAATTCTGAATTCTATAGCATCTGATCGAAATTTAGAACCGACATGACATTTTTAACTACATGTACCATAATATTAAGCATATTGGAAATTCTTTTTTAAATATCTGCATCTGTACATTTGGCAATGACCTCACAGTTTAATCAATATCAAACAAGACTTTCAATATCTGACCTTTCCTTAACCTCTATCTCCATACAGAACATAGACCTGTCCGCCTTTTAACATTTGACCAGGTTACATGGGGCTATTGTATGGTCAATCCAATATTTGACCAATAATATTGTTACCATATGAATAAAGTAATAACTTAGCTAATGATTATGTCAGTAACATTATTACATCATATCAGTCACTACTCTTACCAAATGTCCAACGACAAACAATAATTACTTTATTTCCTTGCCTTAAATATTGATACAGATATAGTGTGCAAATTATTATATTAACTGAACAAGATTAAATTGTTAAGTCCACCTGAAAAAGTTAAATGTGAATAAATTTTATTATGTCAATTTGCAACAAATTATGTCTTTCAAACAAGAGTACTATCCAGATAAATACTGAAAGATCAATTTAGTTCTAGAAATAAATGTTCATTATGTACTTGTGTTAACACTATGTACTACTTCAACATGTATGCCTAGCACTATATACTACTTCAACATGTATGTATAAACACTCTGTACTACTGTGACATTTATGTCTAAACACTGTACTACTGCAACATGTTTGTCTAAACACTATGTTCTACTTCAACAAGTATGTATAAACACTATGTACAATTGCAACATGTATGACTAAACACTATAATTATATTACTTCAACATGTATAACTTAACACTATGACTGTACTACTTCAACAAGTCTGTCTAAACATTATGTACTACTGCAACATGTATGTCTAAACATTATGTACTACTGCAACATGTGCATACTACTGTAAGCATTATGTACTTCTGCAGCATGTATGTCTAACACTATGTATTACTGAAACATGTATGTCTAAACATTATGAACTGCTGCAACATTTATGTCTAATCACTATGTACTACTTACTGACTAGTGAAACATTAACATCTTAACACTATGTACTACAACACTTTTTAAACCCAACCATTATGTACTACTGCAACATCTAAGTCTTAACATTATTTTCTGCAGCAATATTTATATCTAAACATAATGATTATACTATAATACTACTGCAATAATCATGTGACAAAAGAAATTATTTGGCTTTATAAATTATATTGTTCTATATATACAAAAAGTTATCATCCTAAGCAACAAATATCAGCAAGTCTGCAAGTTAAAGTAATGTATCACAAGCACAGTTTTGCTGCTGACAGTTTGTCTAGTACAGCTTGTCTTCAAAGCTAAACTTCAAAGCTGACCTATACAGATTTCCTGCAGACAGTTTGCCTTAAAGCTGACCTGCAGATTTTACTGTGAACATACTGTCTTTTAAGCTGACCTGTAGATTTTTTCTGCAGATGGCTGTCATTAAAGCTGACCTAGTCAGAGTTTTTCTGCAGACAGCTTGTCTTCAAAGCTGACATGAAGAATTTTCCTTTCAAGGGAACAAAAGATATAAGTAGCTTGCTCTTTATCAAAGGAACTAAAGACAACAGCAGCTTGTTCTTTATCAAGGGAAGTAAAGACAACAGTTGCTTTCTCTTTATCAAGGGAACTAAAGACAACAGTAGCTTGCTCTTTATCAATGGAGCAAAAAACAGCAGTAGCTGCTCTTTATCAATGGAACATAAGACGACAGTAGCTTGCTCTTTATCAAGGGAGCAAAAACAACAGTAACTTGCTCTTTATCAAGGGAACTTAGAACAACAGTAGCTTGCTCTTTATCAAGAGAAGTAAAGACAACAGTAGCTTACTCTTTATCATGGGAAGTAAAGACAACAGTAGCTTGCTCTTTATCAAGAGAGCAAAAAACAACAGTAGCTTGCTCTTTATCATGGGAAGTAAAGACAACAATAGCTTGCTCTTTATCAAGGGAAGTAAAGACAACAGTAGCTTACTCTGTATCAAGGGTACTTAAGACAACAGCAGCTTGCTCTTTATTAAGGGAACTAGCAGCTTGCTCTTTATTAAGGGAACTTAAGACAACAGTAGTTTGCTCTTTATCATGGGAAGTAAAGTCAACAGTAGCTTGCTGTTTATCAAAGGAACTAAAGCTAACAGTATCTTGCGCATTATCATGGGAAGTAAAGACAACAGTAGCTTGCTCTTTATCAAAGGAACTAAAGACAACAGCAGCTTGTTCTACATTAAGGAAAACTAAAGACAAAAATTGTAATTACAGCATATATCTCAATTGAACAAAAGGCAAAAGCAGCTTGCTTTTTATCAACAAAACTAAAGGCAACAGTTGTTTGCTATAACTCAAGGAAAACTAAACCCAACAGAATCTTTCTATAAAGCAAGGAAAACAAAAGACAAGAGATACATGTAGAAAACAAAGCAAACCAATAACAACAGTAGTTTGCTCTTTATCAAAGATTCGATCCCCGGGAGATGCTTTGGTAGTTTAGCACGGAGGAAGGTAGTCTAGTACTGGTGTAACTCTCCAGGAACGATGGTTAGGAAACTACCGGCCTATATGACTGAAATACTGTTTGGAAAAGGCGTAAAATGAAACAAACAAACAAACAAACTTTATCAAAGACACTATAGCCTATAGTAGCTTGCTCTTAACCAAGGGAGCCAAAAACATCAGTAGCTTGCTTTGTAACAAGGGAAATAAAGACAACTGCAGCTTGCTCTGCAACAAAGGACCTAATAACAACAGTAACTTGCTCTTTACCAAAAGAACTAAAGACAACAGTAGCTTGCTCTTTATCAAGGGAACTAAAGACAACGAAAAGTTGAAGAAACAAGTTCATCAGCGTCCATAGTGATGAAACAGAAGTAATTCTACCAGGTATGAAACTTGAATATCATTCAGCACAACATTATTGTTGTGTTTGTATTTTTACTTGCTTCTATTTGATCTGTTTCTTAAAGAGTGATTCCAGTATTCCTACTTTAATCACCCTTATGATGTTTGCCTGCTTTTTAAAATTGTCTTTCGACGTCTTATCTATGAAATGCAGGCCCTAAAACCTCTGATCCCTTTCACACTTCCATTTCATTTAAATCTGACAGTTGCTTTTTTCTTTGCGGGGCAAACACATTCTTATACTTGGGGATTATATGCACCTTTTCATGGAATGGCATTGAAGGTTGTATAATAACTGCCATATGAACACATCTGTGAATGATCTAAATTCAAAATTTTGCCATTTTCATATCTAAATGTTGAATTGTGCTTAAGCATGTGCTAGGGACGCCATTTCTATTCAGGAACAGGCTCAATCCCACTGGACCTGCAACATTTCCAATTTTGCTGTTTTGGGTGTTCATAAATGTTTCCATTTTTGACCATTTTCTAGATGTACGCAATGACATGTAATAGTCAACATTGTATAATCTTTTGAATAATAAGTAACAAAAGTATTTATTTGACATTCCTTTAGAAATAAAGTATATTTTGGTAGAGCTGTCATCGATAAAAACAAGATATGTTTGTAAAACATGTATGCCCCCTATCAGCAGCCAATTAGTCATGTGATAAGGTTATTATGCATGACTTCTGACCCAGTGATCAAACAATTAAAAAGGATTATCAAGTATCTACTGGTCATGACCTTAACCTTTGACCCCTTGACCCAAAACTCAATAGGGGTCATCTACTGGTCACGACCAATCATCATACAAAGTTTGAAGTTCCTAGGCCTAAGCGTTTTTAGTTAATTGATCAGAAACCGTTTTTACCTTCAAGGTCAATGTGACCTTGACGTTTGCCCACTTGACCCCAAAATCAATAGGTCATCTGCTGGTCATGACCAATCACCATACCAAGTTTGAAGTTCCTAGGCCTAAGGGTTCTTTAGTTATTGATTGGAAACCGTTTTAACATACAAGGTCAATGTGACCTTGACCTTTGACCCCAAAATCAATGAGGGGCATCAGCTGCTCATGACCAATCACCATGCCAAGTTTGAAGTTCCTAGGCCGAAGCGTTCTTTAGTTATTGATCAGAAACCGTTTTACTTACAATGTCAATGTGACCTTGACCTTTGACCCCTTGATCCCAAAATCATTAGGGGTAATCTGCTGGTCATGACAAATCACCATGCCAAGTTTGAAGTTCCTAGGCCTAAGCGTTCTTAAGTTATTGATCAGAAACCGTTTTTACTTACAAGGTCAATGTGACCTTGACCTTTGACCCCTTGACCCAAAACTCAATAGGGGTCATCTGCTGGTCACGACTAATCATCATACAAAGTTTGAAGTTCCTAGGCCTAAGTTTTTAGTTAATTGATCGGAAACTGTTTTTACCTACAAGGTCAATGTGACCTTGACCTTTGACCCCTTGACCCCAAAATCAAAAGGTCATCTGCTGGTCATGACCAATCACCATACCAAGTTTGAAGTTCCTAGACCTAAGGGTTCTTAAGTTATTGATTGGAAAGCATTTTTACCTACAAGGTCAATGTGACCTTGCCCTTTGACCCCTTAACCCCAATATCAATAGGGGTCATCTGCTGGTCATGACCAATCACCATACCAAGTTTGAAGTTCCTAGGCCTAAGGGTTCTTTAGTTATTGATCGGAAACCGTTTTTACCTATGAGGTCAATGTGACCTTGACCTTTGACCCCTTGAACCCAAAATCAATAGGGGTCATCTACTGATCATGACCAATCATCATATCAAGTTTGAAGTCCCTAGGCCTAAGGGTTCTTTTGTTATTGATCGATACCGTTTTTACCCAAGAGGTCAATGTGACCTTGACCTTTGACCCCTTGACCCCAAAATCAATAGGGGTCATCTACTGATCATGACCAATCACCATACCAAGTTTGAAGTTCCTAGGCCTTAAAGTTCTTTAGTTATTGATCGGAAACCATTTTTCCTTACAAGGTCAATGTGACCTTGACCTTTGACCCCTTGACCCCAAAATCAATAGGGGTCATCTACTGATCATAACCAATCACCATACCAAGTTTGAAGTTCCTAGGCCTTAAGGTTCTTTAGTTATTGATCGGAAACTGTTTTTCCTTACAAGGTCAATGTGACCTTGACCTTTGACCCCTTGACCCCAAAATCAATAGGGGTCATCTACTGATCATGAACAATCACCATACCAAGTTTGAAGTTCCTAGGCCTTAAGGTTCTTTAGTTATTGATCGGAAACCGTTTTTGCCTACAAGGTCAATGTGACCTTGACCTTTGACCCCTTGACCCCAAAATCAATAGGGGTCATCTACTGGACATGACCAATCACCATACCAAGTTTGAAGTTCCTAGGCCTAAGGGTTCTTTAGTTATCACTCGGAAACCATTTGGTCTACGGACCGACGGACCGACGGACCGACAGACCGACGGACCGACAAGTGCAAAGCAATATACCCCCTTTTCTTCGAAATGGGGGCATAACAATATTGATCAATGATATATACAGTATAGTTGAAATTTTTCTTGTGATCAATAAACGATTCATTTAATTTTTTTTTATAGTTTTGACTTATTAGTTAAATGTCTAGAAATTAGGAAAATTCACCCAAAACATATACAGAAGCAGGTGTCCATATTAGTTAAAATATATACAATGTAGACGTGCCAAAGCTAGATTCTGTGATATTTTTGTTCTGGGTCAGAATCTCGATTCTCATAAAGGCGAGATATTGCCCAGACACAAAATAGCACAATATCTCGTCATGCAGTACAATAAGTTGGACTAGTGTCCATATCTTTCATTATCTGTTGTTACATAGTGGAAATATTTCACAGTATTAATGATGACAAAAAATGGTCTGGATATAAATGATGCAATAGGCTTTTATAAACAAGACACTGAACAGAACATGTTTTCAACTGTTCAAAATCATTTAAACATGAATAAAAGTGAATGACAGACAAGTTAATTTTAGTAATTATCGATATATCGGGTATTGTTGATATTTCTTATCCGATATATCATTGTTTTGCCTTGCCTTGAATCCAAGACAGCTCTATAGTTTGGTAATATCATGGCTGAAAAATATGTTTGACAGTGACAGAATTTATTAAACCTGTTCAGTGGAGGTGGGTAATAGAAAAAATTTATGTATTTTCTCAAGATCTACCTGAAAATAATGAAATAACATTAAATGTATCACCATGAATTCGATGTGTTACCTTCAATGCACTGCTTTTCTTTGAACGTTATAATTCCTTATAATTCATTCAGTTTTGGGGCGTGTAACTAAGACACTTATAACCTGTGTAAGATCATGTAGGACTTCTTGCACATGGAATAAATAAACTGTCACACCGTTAGAATGCCTTTTATCCCGGTTTACATCAGCGATTTTTGAATGTCATCTTGACTTTACTTCGCCAATTATCTTAATTCGGAATTCCATAAGAAGGATTAAGAAAAAAGATATACCTGGCAATTGCAGTAAGGTTTAATTTGTTTCTATTCGTTCTTGTTTTCCATTTCGCACTGTTATGCGCAGAACTAGTTGCGCATAACGAGAGCATGTGGGATTGTCAACAGCCAATCAAATGTGTTGTTTCTTCCAGTCTGGAGGAGCGGGTCACAACCTATGACCTTTACACTGTCTGGCACAAAACTTTGGAATTTTGTTATTTTTTCTTTGATTTGGTAAGTTTTTGATATTCTCTATTGTTGGCATCTTGTAATCTTAGTTATGGAGTTTCACTGAAGGGTTCTGTAGCCACCAATTTTGCTTATATCGTTCTTAAATACGAAGTTTACCGCCAGACGTATCGCCATTTTCTCTATTTTTTATTTTTGCTTTACGGAAAACATTATGCTGCCATCCTCAGTAAACTGACAGTTTAAACACACCGTTTTAAATCGTTCTACATTATTTTATTCATGGCAATTCTAAGGAATATATCTCTGTACGTGTATAGTTGCAGCTTTTGTCGTTTAAGTTTTGACAGTTGTAACCCCGCACGTTTTACTGTAGGTGCATGACCTTTGTGTATTTGTCCCGATGACACGGTCAGACTGTGTAGTTTCGTTTTGTTTTGAAGTGAGTACTGACATGTTGATTGTAATAATTTCTCAAATTCAACTATTGGTAATATGCTATGATTTGACAATAGTTTTCTCTGCTGAGATATTTGGCCTCAATAATTATGACACAGTCAGCATTGTATGTCAGATGAATAATTTATGCTAATAAGTAATGTCTGGGTTCAGATGACTAGGTCATGTTATGGCATGTGACACAAATTCTGTGAGTTGAATGTCTGCAGTTAAAAGATGCATTCCATGATGAAGTCAGATATATGACATTTGAAAGGAATGTTTTTACAGCTACATTTTAAATAGAATGCGGGCAATTTGCCATTTGAGTTGTGACTATTAACATCTATGACAGATGGTGCCAAAATAAGGTAATAATATGAAATATTGTATGGAGTTTATATGCTCATTTACTATACATTTTTATCATAAAAGATTGATATAGCATAATTTTCCAATTAAGTAGGAAACATTTACATCTACTGTACACATTTATCTATTTGTAATTAAGAAAAAATAATACATGTGTAGAATGTTCATGTACTCTACAGTCACATTGTACATCATACCACAATCTGTTCTTTATTTTTAAACTTAAAAGTATACAATGTAGTGGTTTGTGGCATCTGTATAGTCTATTACAGTCCTCTTCAGTATAAACCTGTATGTTGTACCTGATAATCCATATATGGCCTCTAGAGGTCATTTTCTGTAGAGAAAGACCCATTTTATCAAACCAGGCCATGATTACCACAGGTTACTGGTATAACAGTCATGTCACTTTACTATAACTATTACTTGTATTATCCAACATGCATGCAAAGAGAGACTTTGTCGATATTCTTGGAGTATAGTCAGTAAGTATACCAGATTGAGACTTTTTGTAGGTACATTTAAAATTATTGTGATGAGTTAGATTTAATATCTACACACTTTAAAATCTTTTCAATATTATTATATATAAAAGCTTTATTCTCACATTAGTCACAAGATGCATAGTAATTAAAGTGAGATTATCCATTTTATCTCACTTATCTCCCTTGATGCAATTCCTCCTTTGTGTAGATATACTTTTATCTTTAATAATTTTCTTTTTATCAATATTCCATGTAGATCATTTGGGGAAAAAATCAGTAATTTTGAGTAATATAAAATGTGTAGAAATTATGAAAATTCACATGTACATGTACTGTATTTATAGAACTATTAGAAGCAATTGCTCTGTCAAAACAACATGTCTAAAACTAAGTTGTTGATATGTAATAAGACATCTATTTCACAGCAGTTCTGACAAAAAAATGGTCAGAAAAAAACAAGCAGTGGGCATTCATATACAATACTCATCATTAGAAATAATGAAATTGTATGCCCAGAAAATGTATTTTACTGACACATGAAATCTGGTGTTGTAATTAAAAATATTTATATTGAAAAGTATTATGTGCCAGGTATATGGATGTGTCATCAAATTTGTTATTTGTCTGACATCAGATACATGTATCAGTATATTGCTAAGTAATATGCTTTGGACTGAACAAGATTGACAGATCTACTTATGTCACATAATGTGGAGGGAGAGTCATGAGTAGTTAATTAGAAGTTTTTTTTCATCAAACTCTCAATCTTGAGGTCATGAGTTTGAATCTCACAGTGGTAAAATTTTCTTCCAGGCAACCCACAATCAGATGTTGCACTACAGATTAGAATAGCCAGGATGCACTCATCTGACATGACTTTAAATGCACGACTATTACTAGGTCCCAAAAAGAATTTGACCTTTATTATAGTAATACTAATAGGAAAACAAAACCTTTTGTCAAGTTGGATATTTGTAAACAGTAGACAATAGAGCTGCCTAACCCAATACTGATTGAATATCTTACATGTATATTGACTTGTCCATCTTTCAGTTAGGACAAAACCATCGATCATATTTAGGGAATTTTTTTTCCTTCAAAATATATACTGATTGAATAGCAACAATATACCTTGTGCTGTGGCCAAGGATGTGCTATTCTGTTGCAGCCAGCAGCGGAAAAACTACTGAGGGTTGAGGATTAAAATCTAAAATGCAAAGTTTAATGCATTGCATTTTAGGCCTGACAGAATTCATTTCAATACATGTAGAAAGTGCTGTGACCTTAAATGTGTATGCTTAGCTATATATATATATTTCGTTTGGTTCGACGTTTCTCATTTGCATATTTTCAGTAATCCTGCATCAACAACGTCAACTAATTTTTAGCTCGACTATACGAAGTATATGGAGAGCTATCCCACTCGCCCCGGCGTCCGCGTCCAGATTTTAGATTAAAGTTTTGGTGCAGTAAAATATTTTTCACTATAACTTTGTCATTTCTTAAGGTATCAACTTCAAACTTCAAATATATGTTCCTTATCATCAACCACATCTTATGTGACAAGGTTCATAACTCTAGCACCAATATTTTCAGATTTATCTCCCCTGGAACTTAGAATTTTCCTTAAAAAATACTATTTTTTACTGTTACTTCTTTATTTCTTAAGGGATCAACCTCATACTTCAAATATATGTACCTTATCATCATCCCCATCTTATGTGACAAGGTTCATAGCTCTAGCACCAATATTTTCAGATTTATCTCCCTTTGAACTTAGAATTTTCCATAAAAAATATTATTTTTTACTGTTACTTATTTATTTCTAAAGGGATCAACTTCATACTTCAAATATATTTACGTTATCATCATCCACATCTTATGTGACAAGGTTCATAACTCTAGCACCAATATTGCAAGAATTATCTCCCCATAAACTTAGATTTTTTTACTAGAAAAATGTTATTTTTTATTTTTATTATAAAAGGTATCTACCTCAAACTTCAAATACGTATTCCTTATCATCAATTACATTTTATGTGACAATGTTCATAACTCTTGAACCAATATTTACAGATTTATCTCTCTTTGAACTTAGGATTTTCTTTAAGAAATATAATAACTTCTTTACTTTTTAAGGTATCTACTTTAAACTTCAAATATATATTTCTTATCATTACACAAATGTTGTGTGACAAGGTCCATAACTCTAGCATGACTATTTTTAGAATTATTCCCCTTGATCTTGGAATTTATGTTAACAAATGTTATTTTTTTACTATAACTTAATACATAATTATACATAATTGATTTTTCTTTCATAGTTTTGTCCTCCTTACTGCGTCCAGTATTTTATTAGTCGAGCTTCGCTGTCTCCTGTGACAGCTCTTGTTTGTTAAAGCACTATCGTTAATGCTTTGTAACAAAAATGAATCTTCATGTTTATTATTCATTGTGTGAAGTAGATGTACATGTGATATTATAAGTTATATTTTTCCAAAGCAAGTGTTTTTAGTTGAACTTTATAGTCATATTAAGGGAATGACATATCTATCGACATACAGACAGAATGAAAATAAATAATAGTTAATACAGGTTTCAAAACTTGAAATTATATATGATTTTTTAAAAAAATGGAGGTCATCAACTTCGTCACATATGTATCATCTTAAACTTTATATAATTATATGAATTATAAAATGGTCCATTTCAGGTTTTATTAGATCAAAAATACTTTCACTTAATAATGTTACCCAAGGTTTTTAACCAGGTTTTCCGAAGGAAAAAACTGGTTATTAGATTGAGGTATGTCGGCGTGCGGGCGGGCGGGCGGGCGTAAACAATTTCTTCTGTGCGCAACTCCTACATTTCTCAACGGATTTTGACCAAACTTTCACAGAAGCTTTGTCATCAAGTGCCCTGGCGCATATTGTCGGGGTTTTGCGATTAGATAATATTTGACCTAATTATGGCCCTTTGTTTTTTTTCCATATATAAAATATATAGTGAACAATTTCTTCTGTGCGCAACTCCTCCTACATTTCTCAAGGGATTTTGACCAAACTTTCTCAGAAGCTTTGTCATCAAGTGCACTGACACATATTGCCAGGGTTTTGCAATTGGTATATATTTGACCTAATTATGGCCCTTTGTTTTTTTTCCTTATATAGAATATATAGTTTCTGTGCGCAACTCCTCCTACATTTCTCAACGGATTTTGACCAAACTTTCACAGAAGCTTTGTCATCAAGTGCCCTGGTGCATATTGTCGGGGTTTTGCGATTAGATAATATTTGACCTAATTATGGCCCTTTGTTTTTTTCCCTTATATAAAATATTTAGTGAACAATTTCTTCTGTGCGCAACTCCTCCTACATTTCTCAACGGATTTTGACCAAACTTTCTCAGAAGCTTTGTCATCAAGTGCCCTGACACATATTGCCAGGGTTTTGCAATTGGTATATATTTGACCTAATTATGGCCCTTTGTTTTTTTTCCTTATATAGAATATATAGTGAACAATTTCTTCTGTGCGCAACTCCTCCTACATTTCTCAACGGATTTTGACCAAACTTTCTTAGAAGCTTTGTTAACAAGTGCCTGGCACATATTGTCGGGGTTTTGTGATTGGAAAATATTTGACCGAATTATGGCCCTTTGTATATTTTTTCCTTATACAGAATATATAGAGAACAATTTCTTCTGTGCTCAACTCCTCCTACATTTCTCAATGGATTTTGACCAAACTTTCACAGAAGCTTTGTCATCAAGTGCCCTGGCGCTCACTAAATTCCCATGTTTCTTCCAAGACATCATTCAAGTATTTTTTTAAAATTGTGAACATACTTTTCTTGATATCGCACAAAACACCACACGCCAATATTGTTGACAAAAGAAAATGACAAGAGACGCAAAAATGCAAAAATTAAGCAAAAATAAAGTACTGTTTACCTTTCTAAAACATTTGGGGAAAAAAGGCGAATAGACAACATAAAATTTCTCAATCATTTTTGTTTGAGGAATATTAAAAAAGCCATAATTCCTCCTAAAAGTTCAATTAAAAACAAATGCCCCTTCATGACAAAGCTTCTGTGAAATATTTTGCTGAAAACCTGGTTGCATCGCATTGCGATGTTCCTTGTTATCA